TTGGAGACGTCATGTGGAATGAAGGAGAAGCCAGCAGGAGGAGGACAAGCGCGGACGGCGCCACCCACGTGTGGGATTTGGATGTCCGGACGCGGGAATGCGGAGTCTTAACGGAGGGAGACCCGGGTTACTCACGGCCCCGGAGTACAGTGGGGAGAAGGAGAGGAGGGGAGGGGAGAGGAGGGGAGGGGAGGGGAGGGGAGGGGAGGGGAGGGGAGGGGAGACAGACGAGCAGCAACGGGGCAGGTCGGGGCGCCAGGCACCAAGGTGGGCTTACGGGAGGACAGAGCTGAGTCCCCAAACCAGTCACCAACCCTGAGGTCCAGAGACCCAAACTCTAACACCCGAACTCAGAAAGGTGCCTGTCGAGGGGGTCTGGGGACACCGGGGGAGGGAGGGTGACACTGGTGGTGGGATCGGGGCTGAATTATCCTGTCTAAAACCCAACTATGAATCACTGTTAAATCACAGTGCTTTAATTTTTATTTATTTATTTATTTTTCTTTTTGGGTCACACCCGGCGATGCTCAGGGGTTCCTCCTGGCTCTGCACTCAGGACTTACTCCTGGCGGTGCTCAGGGGACCCTATGGGATGCTGGGAATCGAACCCGGGTTGGCCGCGTGCAAGGCAGACGCCCTCCCCACTGTGCTATCGCTCCAGCCCCAGTGCTCTAATTGTTAAAAATGTGGAAAAATTGAAAGCAAGAGTAAAAATAAATGAATAAGCAAATAAATAGTGAGCGTCCCCTGGACTGTCCAGGCAGATGTGAGTAGCAGAGACCCCTCCACCCAGGAGCCGAGCACAGCAACAAAAGGAAAGGCCAGCGAGGCTTCCGGAGGGGGGACCGGGCGGTCACCTGCTGGAGAGGAAGGAGACCGGACGCGGGACGCAGGCCACGAGGAACACAGTGCTGCGGGGCTGCCGGCCAGCGGCCACAGGGACCAGAGTCCAGCAGCCACGGGGGTCTGACCCGCCAGGGGGGCCTCGAAGCGGATCCCTGAGGTGCCTTAAACTTGGATTTTCCCCGGGGGCCACCTCAACGGAAAGGCCCTGCCAGGAGACGCTGTCCCTGGAGTCCGGCCTACAACAACTCACCGAAGGGTGCGGTTCCCGGCCACTCGCCTGTGGCTTGGTGCTGGGCAACAGAGAAGGAATCCGCCGGTTCAGAGAGGGCTGAGGGCCACTCAAGGGCCTGCTTCAGGAACGGCTGGATCCAGCACTGTGCTTAGCTGCCTCCTGGGGTGCCTTCCTGCTCGCTCTCTCCCCTGCCTCTCAAACACACACACACACACACACACACACACACACACGCACACACGCACACATACACATGTGCACACTCACACACACACATGCACACACACACGCAGGAAGGCGACCTGTCTTTCTCCAGGTGTCCAACCCAAGACCCACAGGCCATCACGAGCTGTAACTGGCTCTCACACCCCGTCCAGACCCGAGCACGGGGCGGGGGCTGCCACGGTCTTATTGAGCAAGGCTGGTTCTAGCTGTGCCAGGGGCCGGGCTGGCACCGGAGGGGCCGGTTCCCGGGGGAACGCGGCACGGTGCCGTCCGTCCTCTCTGACCCCACGGGAGTTTCACTCCTTGGAGCAAGCCCCCAAGGCCCGGGCGGCGGGGTCCGAATGGGCCCCAGTGACTGTCCCTGGGAACACCCGGGACATTCCTGCCAGGGCCCTGCGGCCCAGCCCCTGTCCTGGCCGGCCGGGAGGCCCCGCGTGCCCAGGGCTGGTGTTACTGGGACACAAGGTCAGCGGCCGATATTTATACCTTGGCCCCACAGGGTGGCCACTTGGCTTGGAGGCAAATATGGTCAAAAGTGAGTCCAGGCAGCCTGAGGCGAGGAGGCGTCCCGAAGGTCCCGCTGTCCCCGGGACACCCCAGGATGCTGAGCTGTGGGGGGTAGGGGCTGGCTCTCCGGGTCTGTCACCCGGCGACAACCCAGGGCCCTTCAGCGCGTCCCCATCCGACGAGCTGTGCCCGCACCCACTGCTCGGGCCGTCTGAGTGTGGTCCCGCCTCTGGCCCTGGCGCCCCTCGCCTGCCCACTGTCCTGTCCACTGCTGGCAGCTCTCGGCCGTGCGGTTTCTTCTCCCTCCTTGGCGGAGATCCAGCCCCGGGAGTCTGCCGGGCTCTGCTCACCGCGCCGTCCACCCGTCCATGCCGAGCGAGCGGCCGGGCTGTCCGGCAGGTCCCTCACTCCTGCTGTTGCCTGCTACATCTGGGGTCCCCCCCGGCCCCGACCGGCCCCTCTGGCAGCTCCCGGCCCCCAGCGCACCGTGAGGAGCACAGCCGGGACGGGCTCTGGGCACTCGGGGTGCCCCTGGGGGTGCTCCTGGGGCCGGGCCGGGCAGATGCAGTTCCCTCTGTCTTGGGGACCCACCGCGGAGCTGATAGGCTCCTGGTTCCACCCACTCCTCACACATCCCTCTGCTCGCCCCCGCCTGGGGTCGGGGTCCACGCCTCCTGCGTCTGCATCACGGCTGTTCTGGGGGCGAGTCTTCCGCTCAGGGGCCGGAGCTGCTTCTTCCCTGGGTTCTTGGCCAACTGGCCCAGCAACTCGGTGTGAGCCCGGTTTGTGGTGCCGCTCAGGCCCTGTGGGCTGGGGAGTCCCCTGCCACCCACCCACGCAACATCCATCCATCCACCACCCATCTATCCCCCCACCCCCCGTCCACCCACCCTTCCACCAACTCTCCCTTCGTCCGTTCACCATGAGCCGCCCCTCACCTCCCCACCCCCTCACTCATCCCTCTCCCCAGCACCCACCCCCCACCCTCTCACTCACCCACCCATCATCCCTCCACCTCCCCTCCCCTCCCCTCCTTCCGTTTTGCAGGAAAACACCTTCCCCCCCCCATTTCTCTGAAAGGGCCCGGTCCCTGGGGAGGAGCCCCAGAACGGGTGGCAGCAGCTGGGGGGCTGGGCTGTGGGGGAGGCAGGGTTCACCCCATCATCCATCCCAGGCCGCCGAGTGCCCCGGTGTGTGGAGCAGACGCGGGGCCGGGGCTGATAAGCCGAGCCGGGCACTTATCGGCCCCCACAGGAGGCCCAGGAGGCTTGGGGTGCGGGCACACGGCTCTGGGCACCGAGGCTGCCCGTCCCCCCCACGGGTCCAGCCCACGGGTCGTGTTTACATCTGCACACACAAACGTGACTCAGCACCCGGGAGGGGGTGGGGAGATGTGGACTCTTGGGGTTCCCGACCTTGGCCCAGCCGTCCGGCGCCCCAGCCGTGCCGCCCCCGAGAAACCGGAAACACCCAGACCCAGGGGTGCTGGCCGTCGGAGCTCCGGAGCCTGGGGTGGGTCAGCCCGGGTCTGGCTGGCCGGTGTCTGAGCCTGGGGACGTGGGGGGGGGGGCCCGGAGGGGCCACGGGGCTCACGGGCCTGGGGGGAAGGTGAGAGCTGGAGCTAGACCCTGGAGGGGGGCACTGGCCCAGGGGGCTCTCGGCGAGCTGGGAAACGAGCAGCTGTCGGAGGCAGCCCGGCCTCGGGACTGGGGGACAGACAGACAAACCCGAGGGAAAAGGAGGTTGGTTAGTTCCGTGACGGAAAATTCTAGGCTTGTTTCAGGCGTGGCTGGGTCAAGGAGCCCCGGGAGCCTCTGTCAGCCACTCGCTGCTCCTGTGTGCTGGGCTGCGGGGTCCGTCCCCGTCTGCCCAGTGCCCGGGGTGTTGCCTGGGCCTCTGTCCGGCCCGGCGCTCTCATGAGGTGACTGCAGAGGGTCCCTGAGCTGCTGTGAGCCCAGAGGCCGCAGCCGGAGCCGAGGACGTGAGGGGCCTGTCCCCCAGCTGTGCGCCGGCCGATAGGGCCAGGAAGCAGGCGGGCCCTCGCGATAGCCCCGGCCCGGCCCCCGGGCCCTTATCAGCCGCGGCCACGGCCCCTGCTGGAGCCCGCTGACCTCCCGGCCCGTCTGCAAACAAGGCCCAGAGGTGAGGGCGGGATCGCAGAGGCTGGCCGGGGACCGCAGGGAGTGCCCAGAAGGATGCGGGGCAGGACCCAAGGCCACCGGCCTGTCTCACAAAGCCGGCGGGGAGCCGCGGGCAGCGGCGGGAGTGGCCTCCTGGCCGACGCATCACCGAGGCCTCTCCTCACCCACTTCTCAGAGCAGGGTCAGCGGTCCCGTCCCCAGCAGGGTCAGAGGGCCTGTCCCCAGCAGGATCAGCGGTCCCATCCCCAGCAGGGTCAAAGGGCCCGTCCCCAGCAGGGTCAGTGTCTCCCCCGCCCCCCCACCCCCGCACGGTGACAGGTGGCCCTGCCTGCCCACGCCCACCTAGAAAGCATCCCCTCCCGGGGGGCTCAGAGCCGCCACCTGGGGGTCCCTCCCAGCACCAAGCCCGGTCAGGCAGCTGTGGTGACTTGCCTCCACCCCATGGCAGAGAAACCTACAGAGTAACGCTTTAAAGAAAACAGGTTTATTCTTATCGGAACAATCTAATAAAATATAATAATAATAATAACATTAGCTACCTTCACTTCCGGGCCGTGGCCGGGCCGGCTGCACCCTGGGTGCCCGCCTGCAGGTCTGCGGCCCGACACCTTCCACTTCCCTGAGGTAGGTCCAAAGGAAGAGCCCCCCGACCCCACCCGCCCCGGACCCCCGGGAGGGCGGCAGCCCGGACAGTCTCCGCGGGCCGAGAGCGGGGCGGTGGCCAGAGAGGAGGGCACAGTGGGGGCGGGGGTGAGTGGCCCCGGCACCCCCTTGGGGTCTGGCCGGCCCTGAGCCCCCCGCAAAGCCCCCCCAACTCGGAGCCGGCCGGGCCCTGGACTCTCGGCAGGAGCCTCCGTGGAAAAATAGAAATTCGGAACCTCTTAGTAGCAAAGACAAAAACGGTAAGAAAACTCGGCCCTCAGACCGGGGAGGGGGCTGCCGGGGTCCGCGTCACCGGGCGCCCCGCCGCTCTCCCGGCTCGGTCCCCCGGGTAAGTAAGGCACCTGGGTGGGGTCCCGGGGGGCCGCGTGCGCAGAGGGTCGCCTCGCCCTGGCCACCCGCGGGCGTCACTGCATCCTGTCGGGCAGAGGCGGCGGCGGCTGGTACTGCAGGAAGGCCGGGCCGGGGGGCGCCGCGGACACGGCGGGGGGCAGGGCGGCCGCGTAGCTGTAGCCCACGAAGCCGTAGGGGCCCTGCTCGTAGGCCGGGTACTGTGCGAAGGCCGGGCTGGCCGGCGGGAACTCGACGTAGGGCGAGGTCAGCGAGGGCACGGGCGCGGCCGGGATCACCACGCCGGGCTGCAGGATGGCCGGCGGGTACACGTAGCTCGGTGCCAGCCTGCGGTGAGCAGCGAGGGGTCAGCCCGGGGCGGGTCCCGCAGCCCCCACAGGGCCACGCCGGGAGGGTTGGGGGGCGTGGGCGGAGCTGGGTGTCCCCCCAAAGCCCACGGCCCTGCCCCAGCAACACGCCCGGGGTCAGGGGGCGACTCCTCCTGTCCCGCCCACCCCCGCGCCCCTCAGTGACACCCCGAGAGGCCCCTTCCTCCCTCACACCTTCACCCGGGAAGAGGGAGGAGGAGGGAAGGAGGAGGGCAGGGAGGAGGGAGAGGAGAGGAGGAAGGGGAGAGGGAGGAGAGAGGGGGAGGAGGGAGAAGGGGGGAGGGAGGGGGAGGAGGGCGGGGGGGGCCGGGCTCTGGCACCCGCTCTGGGGAGTGGGGGAGCCCCTCAGCCCCGAGCTGAGCCGTCCAGCGGGTGCCCCGGGCCACCCAAGGGCTGCTCCTCCCGTGGCCGCCAGCTGCCCCCAGCGCCCAGGGAAGGGGCGACGGGCCGAAGCCTCCCTGCAGAGCACAGCGGCCGCAGTCGGGGGGGGCGCCGTCACGGGGAGGGCTCTGGCCTTGCCCTCCGCGCCCTCGTGTCCACGCATCGCACACACACACACGCACGTGGCCAACACGGGTTCGATCCCCAACATCCCCTACAGTCCCAAGAACCCAGAGCGCAGAGCCAGGAGTCCGCCCTGAGGACCGCTGGGTGTGACATGAACAAACACCAAAGACACAAACTAACAAAGACATCAACAAACGGCAACACACACAGGATCGGGCCCAGGCGGTGGCAGCACCCTTCGCCTCGCTTCCTGCTGGGCACAGTGCACAGGGTGGCCGGCAGGGGCCGAGGACACCGGGTGGGGCGCCCTACCCCCCCCACAGCACCCATCAGGGTCAGACATGGGGCGCCAGCACCCAGGCTGAGGACAGGGGTGCAGCGACCCCCGACAGAGCGACACCCCCACGGAAGAGCCGCCCACCCGGGGGAGCCAGGACCCACCCCTGACTGCCAGAGGGTGCACACGTGCGCACACACAGCCACACGCACACAAACACACGGCCACAGGCACGCAGACATGCGTTCACACACACACATGCACTCATTTGGTCGTGTGCTCAGTCATGTCTTCCGCACAGACGTGTGCATGCGTACGTGTCAATACGTGGATACCGTGCACACACGCAGTCACACATATGCTGCACACCCACGTGTAGACAGCACACTCACGCAGCGACACAGTGCACTCACAGCCTCGCGCATGCACGCAGCACACACGTCGGCACACACACCTGCACACACATGGCCACAAACGCACGCGTGGACCTGCACACAAGTTGCTGGCCATGAGCCCCAGGCCGGCCCCGCCCACCCCACTGTGCCCCAGGTCAGCCTCGGGCCCAGGTGGGGCTGGGCCTCCCGATACCCACCAGGCCCGCAGGGAGGAGGCCCTGAGGTCCCCCGACCTGCTCCCCGACACTCTGTGCTCCCGCCCCCGTCCCTGGTCTCCCCCACCTGGACTGCACCAGGGAGCCCCAGCGCCCCAGTCAAACCACCGCCCAGGCCCCCAGGGACAACCCCCCCCAGCCCTCCCCACGGCCCCTCCACTAGGGCCTGCGCCCCCACAGCTCAGGCTGCACTCGTCCCCACCCCCCCAAACAATCTCCCCGGTTCTCCTCTACACCCCAGCGGCTCCACCGACCTCAGGGCCTTTGCAGGCACAGGCCCCCTCTCCCCCCACCCCGGCCAGACCGGCTGGCTCCCAGCACCTGCCCAGGACCTTCCCTGCGGCAGGGATCAGGCACTAGGCACAGGGGTGGGGGCGCCTCCGTACCCCCGCACAGCCCTGACCGCAGAGGGGCAGCTGGGGCCCCTGGTGGCCTGGTCAGGACGGACAGAGCCCGCTCCCGGGCCAGGGCCCAGCAGGGGTGTCCTGGTACCTCGAGCCCGTTTCTGCCCGTGGTCGGGAGCACGGCCCCGACTTCCCTGGCTGCTGCGGAACCCCCGGAACCCCGCGGCCCCCAAGGTCCCTGCGTCCGTCTGCCTCGGGGAACCTGGCAACTGACAGACAGCAGGTGGACGGACAGATGCCGCCAGCAGGACCGGGCGGGCGTGGCCGTGGGGACAGGCCACCAGGCGAGCGCCCGGCCTGCACTCCCTCCGAGCCACGTGGGGACGGCCCACGGCAGGGCACCGGGTGCCCGGAGACCCCCGGGGAGCCAGGCCAGAAGCGTGGCAGGCCCAGAGGCCCAGATCCCCGGCCCCACGCCAGCCCCGCACCCCCAGGAAACCACACTCCTCTCCAGGGTTTTCTGGAATCTTCCGACTGTTCTCCGCCTGCCCTCCCCCGCCCCCCGCGGGCCTGTCCCGGCTGCAGCTCTGCCCCCAGTGCTCGGGCTGGGCTGATCGGGGAGTCTGCCCATGCCGGGCAGCTTCCTCAGCCGTGCAGGGGCGACGGGGTGGTGGGCGCCCAGGTCAGGAGGGGAAACTGAGGCTCGCAGGGGCAGAGTGTTGGGGGGCGGGGCTGGGAACCCCCAGGGACGCGGCCCCGGCCCGGCAGGCGGGACAAACAGCAGGTGCAGGGCCCCGCGGCCCACGTCCTGCTCCAGCGAGCTGCCAAACAGGAAGCGACGCCTGAAAGTAAAAACAAGCCCCGGCTCCCACCACAGGGACGGCACCCCCAGGCCCCCCAGCGCTGACCTCACTTCCTGTCGTGCCCCCCACTTTCACTGTCTGGTGACGCTGCAGGTCCCAGGAAGTAGAGCCCACCCCTCCACCGGGGGCTCCCCGGGGGAAGGGGCCGGCCCTGGGCACTGCTGTGGGGGTCGGGGAACCTGACGCATGCGGACCCCCCACCACTGAGGCCTCAGCGCTGCCCCACGAGCTCGGTCTCCCGGCCCGGGCAGGGCGTGAGGCGCCAGCGCGGGCTTGGCAGGGAAACGGTGCCCGGAGGGAGGGCGTCCGCCCCCGCCGCCTGGGGTCCCGGCTGGGGAACAACAGGACACCTGGGCTGTCCAGGTCGGGGCGGGGCCCGGCTCCGGGGTGGGGCGAGGGGACCCCGACACTGTCTTTTCCACACGGGTCTGCACCACCCCCGGCCCCCAGACAAGTATCCCTGGCAAGCCTGAGCTTCCAGCCCCTGAAGGCTCTGCAGACAGGCTGCAGAGACCCCGAAGGTACCCCCAGCGGGGCCAGCGAGACCCCCCGATACCCCCACAGTCCCCCGGCAGGGCCAGCAAGACCCCAGAGACCCCCATAGTCCCCTGGCAGGGCCAGCGAGACCCAGGAGACCCCCACAGTCCCCAGTGAGTCCAGCAAGACACCCAAGACCCCCAAAGTCCCCCAGCGGGGCCAGCGAGACCCCAGAGACCCCCACAGTCTCCCGGCAGGGCCAGTGAGACCCAGGAGACCCCCAGAGTCCCCCAGTGGGGCCAGCAAGACTCCAGAGACCCCCGCAGTCCCCCAGCAGGCTGAGGTGACCCCAGATACCCCCACAGTCTCCAGTGGGCCAGCAAGACCCCCCAACACCCCCACAGTCCCTCAGCGGGGCCAGCAAGATCCCAGAGACCCCCACAGTCCACCGGCAGGGCCAGCGAGACCCAGGAGACCCCCACAGTCCCCCAGCAGGCTGGGGAGACCCCAGATACCCCCAGAATCCTCAGTGGGTCCAGCAAGATCCCCCCGAAACCCCCCAGCCCCCCAGCGGGGCCAGCGAGATCACAGAGACCCCCACAGTCCCCCGGCAGGTGGCCCTGGGACCGGCTGCCCTCTGGCCCCCGCGCGAGGGTGGACAGGAGCTGGGCTGTCCGGAACCCCCCATGGGAGCCCAAGCCAGATGTGGGGGCCGGGGCCCACCGGGCAGGCGTGCCAGCCCCGGTGCTGCTGCAGGCCAGGCCCCCAGGGACGCTCTGCAGGGGGCTCCGCTGTCCTGCCAGCCGTGGCTGCCGCCCGCCCAGTGGGCTTCTCCGGCCCGGCTCGGCCCTTATATAGTTACGGGGCAGGAACCGGCAGAGGCTGCGGCAGGGCCCGAACGCTCCCGTCCGACTTAACCAAATAAACAGGCAGCGGCGGGCAGGGAGAGCCGTGCAGGGCCGGGTCAGGAGAGCTGCCCGGCAGGACGGGGCTCCCGGCTGGACCAGGCCCAGCTGCCCAGGCCCCCCTGGCCTCTGCCAGCCCCGCACGGACAAAACTGACCGCTGAGTCAGGCCCGGCCGCGTTCCGGGCGACTGTTCGCCAAGACAAAAGGGCCGCTGACGGCTCCAGGCCGGGCGCCAGGAGGGACCGCTGACCGGGCACCCTGCCTGGCAGGGCCCTGGGAACAGCCGGCCCGCGGAGGGCCGCCCCCGCCACCCCAGGGCACAGCCGGGGAGACCCCAACCAGCTGCCCTGCCAGGAGACGACACGAAGAACCAGGCGGCCCGACACCTGTCCCTGGCGTCCCGGCCCTTGGCAGCCCAGAGCGACAGGGAGTGCGAGGTCAGCCGGGACCGGCCATCCCAGGCACCCGCAGTGCTTGGGAGGGCGGCGGCGGGCGCAGGGCCGGGCCCACCCACCCCAAGCCCACGCAGGACCGGGCCCGTCCACCCCGAGCAACATGCAGGGCCGGGCCTGTCCACCCCTAGGTCACCAGCAGGTCTGACCCACCCAGGAAGCAAGGGTGAGCTCGGCGGTCCCTTGGGGACCAGAACAGGAGCCTGGAGGGCTCTGAGGGTCCGGCAGAAGAGGACAGGTGGACGCTGGGCAGGCGGCCGGAGCTCAGAGCAGCGGCTGAGCCGTCCCGGGGACACGGCTGTTGGGGAGGCAGGACAGGGCCCAGGGCCTCTGCCAGGCCTCGTGCCTGCTAGGCCAAGACACGGCTGCGCCCAGGGTGCAGACACGCACACTCCTGCAAACACATGTTCACACGCAAACATGCACACGTGTACGAGCACACACCTGCACACACTGCTCATGTGCAATGCTGTGCACGTGCCTACACGTATGCCCGTGCTCACAAATGCACGCACATGATCACAGGCCCACACATACGTGCCCCCCCCACACATGCACACCCACACGTGCACGTAAACACAAGGCCACACAGGTCCAGGCTCACACACGGACACGTGTACGCGGATCTACACACAGGCATGTGCCCCATATGCACATGTACACACACTCACAGACCCATGCCCCACGCTCACATGCACACATGTACACACACACACACACGAGTACACATACACACAGGCCGTACTCACACGCAAATGTACACACACTCACATAGACCCATGCCCCGCGCTCACACACGTGTACATGCACTCACAGGACCACCTCACAACCTCACATGCACATGTGTACACACACGTACACACACACAGGCCGTGCTCCCACATGCAGACATGCACGCGTCTGCACACACACTGCCTGAAGCCCGTGACCCAGTGTCCTGCACTCTGATAAAATGCTAATTCCCGAAAGGAGGGGGCCGGCCTGCAGCCCCCCCCCCCGAATCGCAGACATCAATCACGGCTCGGAGGCCAGAGCACATGGCGGGGCCCTTTGTGCCCCCGACGTGCGTGTAAAATGCGTGTCCTGCCCCAAACAGCTGCCAGGCCTTCGAAGCCCTCCAAGGGAAACGCAAGGTGGGGGTTGTTGGGGGGAGCAGGAGGGCGGGACAAAGGGGCGTGCCCTCAAGCTGGACATCTGGAGCCGGATACCCCACCCCCGGCTGTCCAGCACTGAAGCCGCCGGTCCCAGGCGGTCCCAGCCCAGCAGCCGGGCCACTCACCCTGGCCCTGACCCTGACCCTGACCCGGGACGAGCCGGGTGCCCCTCCCAGGGAGCCCGGGTTTGCTGTCACCAGGGCTGCAGAGAGCAGGGCACCCCCTCCTGGTGGCCCCACCCTGCACCCCAGGGTGAGCGCCGGGGGGAAGGGCCCTTGTCAAGGGAGCAGGAGGCAGGGGCGCCGCACGGTGTCCAGGGAAAGCCCCGCCGGCCCGCACTCACCCGTAGGTCCTCTGGATGAGCGCGGGGGGCAGCTGCTGCAGGCCGAAGGCAAACCCTGAAAGCGGGCGGGGAGGGGTCAGCCTCGCGGGGGTGGACGCGCCCCCGCCCCGCCCCGCGGAGCCGCGCTTCCTCCCTCCCTCGGGCCGGGGCCGCGTCCGTCCGTCCGTCCGTCCTTCCGTCCGTACCGGGGTGCAGGCTGCGCGGCTTGGCGCCCAGGTAGGCCAGGTTGACGTTGGCCTTGCGGCCGTCGATGTTGGGGTTCGGGTCCTTGCAGGCCCTCTCGGCGGCCGCGCGGTCGGACATGGTCACCTGCGGGCACGCGGGGGTCAGCGCGGGCGTCCCCGGCGGACGGCGGACGGCGGGGGCCGGTCCCGGGGCCCCGACCCCGCCTCGAGCGAGCGGGCGAGCGCGCGCGGGGGTCTGCTCGCCGGCCGCGGGGACCCCCGGAGGGAACCCCAGGCGGGGGCCGGGGCCGCGGGGCTGCCCTCGGGCGCTGTCCCCCACCCGACCTGCCGTTGAGCCCGGACGGCGCGGGCGGGGGGGGCGGGGGGCGGACGGGGCTCGCCGCGTGCCCCCAGGGGCCGGGCGGGCGGGCTGGGGGGCGTCGGGGGAGGTGGGCGGGGCCGGGCGGGGGGCGCCGGGGGAGCGGGACTAGGGGGGCGCCGGCGGGAGGCGGGGGGGGCCGGGCCGGGCGAGCGGGGGGGCGTCGGGGCGGGGCGGGGCGGGGCGGGGTCCCGGGCGGCAGGTGCCCGCGGCGGCGGCGGCGGCGGGCTCGGGGCGCGCGGGGCTCGGGCACTCACGAAGCCGTAGCCGCGGGACTTGCCCGTCTGGCGGTCGGTGATGACCACGGCCTCGTCGATGTCCCCGAAGCCCTCGAAGTGCTTCCGGAGCGACGCGTCCGTGGTGTGGTAGGGCAGGCCGCCCACGAAGATCTTGGTGAACGTGGTGTCCCGGGGCGCGCCGGGGGCGCAGGGCGCGGGCTGCAGCAGCATGGGTGGGCGCGCCGCGGGGCCGCGCGCATGGGCGCCGGCCCGGGCGGGGCGCCGGGCGCGCGGGACGACGGACGCGGGCCGGACCCTCGGCGTCGCCGCCGGCCAGCGAGCTGCGCTGCGCTGCGCTGCGGGGCGCTACCGGGCGCTGCGGCCGCTCCAGCCGGCGCCGCGGGGACTCTGCGCGCGGGCGCCCGCCCCGCCCCGGGCTTTGTAGCCGGCCCCCGCCCCCCGCCCCGGCCCCGCCCACCCGAAGGCCCCGCCCCCGCGTCGGCCCCGCCCCCAGACCGCCCGGACCCGCCCCGCCCCCAGTCCCGCCCCGCCCACCTCCGCGGCCACGCCCCTCCCGGCGCGCGGGGCCTGTCGGGAAGTGTAGTCCCCTCCTCGACGCCTACTACGTGCCCGGCTGTTTCCTTCCGGACGCTGCCCTCGTGGACGGCGCAGCCTCGTGAGCTCGTTGGGAGCGGTCATCGGATAATGTTTACTTGTTCTGCCTTCATCCCACGGCTCTGGGGGACCGTCCCCAAGCTTGTTACAAGGATTTCCCGAAAATTCATGCGGGGTCGGGGGAGGGCGTTTGACTTGCACGCGGCCGACCCGGTTCGGTTCCCAGCACCCCATGGGGTTGGGCATCCCTGAGCACCGCCAGGAGCGATGTGCAAAGCCAGGAGTAAACCTCCGAGCATTGCCGGGTGCGAACCAAAATAAATAAATAAAATAAGATTCATGCGGGGGAAGCTGTCGGGGGGGGCCCCGGGGAGGGGCGTGGGGGGCCGCAGGGACGCCCCAGCCCTCCCCGCCCAAGGAGCGCCCGCGAGTGTTTCTGAAGTCGGGGAACAAACGGGCACCGCTTGGGAGGTGCCTGCGGAGGGACAAGGCTTGGCCTGGTCCACGGCCCGTTTCTGGCCAGAGGGGTCAGCTGGGCTAAGGGATAGGCCAGGAGGCCGGTGCCCGGGAACGCGCTTTGGCCCGGGGTGGGTACGGGAAGTCGGATCGCAGCCTACAAGTCCCGGCGCTGCCCGCGCTGCCCGCCCGGCCCCGGCTCGCGCGCCGGACACGCCTCGGCCTGAGCAGGCCCCGCCCCGGAGCGCTCAGACTCGCCCGGGTCCGGAGGCCACGCCCCCGAGGCCTCAGACCACGCCCCCGTCCCGGCCACGCCCCCTGGCCGCGCCGGCCACGCCCCACCCTGGGAGCACGCCCCGCCCGGGGGTCGGCGGGGAGGCGGGCGCTGCGGGAGCACGTGGAGGCGCCGGGCCGGAAGAAGCGAGCCGGGCCGCGGAGCCGCCGGCCGGTGGGGTCAGCTAAAGGGAAGGCAAGGGCTGAGCCCCCTGCGGTTCCTGCACGGCCCCCGGCGGTGACGGTGGCTCCGGCTGCCCCTGGGGGGTTCATCCGTGCTTTCCCGGTCCCGAAGGCATCCGGGTGTCCACGCGCGCGAATTCTGCCTGGAGTGTCCAGCAGCTGCCTGCAGGCTGTGCACGGGTGCCTGGAGCCCGGCAAGCGCAGGGAAAGCGTGTAGCAACTCCGTGCTGATTGCACGATGCGTGAACGAATGAGTGCGTGGCTTTAGAAGCGTGTGTGTGATGCACCTTTGCATGGGACGGCATGCCCGGACGTAGGACAGTGCACACGGTAGTGGGACCCAACGAGACAGCAAGTGCTGGGATGAACGCCCGCCTGCATGGGTCATGGCAGTCCCTACCGCGAGTGAACGGAGCACGGCCACTGCAGGGCTGAGATCTGCACATCCGAAATGGGTTGAGGCTGTTTGGGGGGGGGGGGGGGGGCAAAGCTTGCTTCTTTTTCCAGAAGTGCAAGTCACACGAACCCCAATGGGTTTGAGTCAAGCAACCCTTCTACTCTTGGAGGACATGCTGTAGGCGGGCACTGTGGTCACCTGTACCCGTGTCCACCCTAAGGCAGCACTTATCCCAGTGAGAGGGGCTCCTTGCCTCCTGCCCTCTCTGGGCATGGCCACTCTAGGGCACTTTCACCCTTGGAAACTCAAGTCTCTCTTGAGTTATTTGCCCGGGGACCACACCTAGTGGTTCTGGGGTGCCGGGGAGTATGTGGTGTTAGGGATCGAACCAGCCCCTTGAGCATGTCCCCCAAGCTCGTTCATGACGTTCTATGTTCTGTTTTACAGCCAGTGACTAGACTCCTAGTTGGAACCCCCTCTTCCAGGAAGCGAGTGGGCTGGCAGCCTTTGCCCTTAACCGAGATTACAGGCCGTTTCAGATTCAGGTCACACTCAATTACAATGCCCCCCCCCCCCCCACACACACACAATCACAATCACACACTCTAGGGAACAAGTAAGGGGACCATTATGACCAGGACTCCTGGTACTGAACCTCAAGACGCATCCTACAGGAGAGGGGACAGGGACGGGCCGGGCCCCGACTGGGAGGTGATGGGGATGCCCCGGGTCCATCCACCCACAAAGGCTGCACATTTCTACCCCCCACCCCCCGTCCCACACCCCCCCCCAGAGCCTTGTCTTGCTCCCCGCGGCTTGAGCTAGTGCTGGAATATTCCTGTCATCGCCTGTGACCCCATTATTAACATTAAAAATGTAAATTCCTAATGGAGACAACCGTGGCCGTTCCACACCTTGCCGTGGGTCAGTGGGAAGCGCTGGCTGCTGTTCCTGCCCAGGGCCGCACGCCGGGACCGTCGCATCACAGCTGCTCCTCGAGACTCACATTCTGGGTGAACAAGTTTATTTCTCACATCACCCCAAAGTGGCGGACAGCTTCAGCCCAGGGGTAGAAGGCTAAGAATGAAGCCGCTTACTAGAACTTTCCAGCCAGGCGTGGGCCGAGCTCCTGTCTCATTTCACTAGTGACCTGTCCCTATGACTTCTCATGCTTGATTTCTGCTCAGGGCAAAAAAGCTCTGCGCTCTCCATTGTTTTCTGCGTCATTTCCTTCTAAATTAGCTGCTAGCGGCTGGTTTGGGGGCCACACCTGGTGGTGCTCAGGCAGAGACCACTCCTGGTGACTCCTGGGGCGGAGGGACTCGGCACAGCACCTTCCTCCCTGTAGTCTGTCCAGGCCGAGGACTGGATCCGGAACCGCTCAGCGTCATCATGCTCCGCCGGCCACCCGGTCCACACCCCCAGAGGGGGCGGGCCTTCTGAGAGAGCCAGGCAAAGCAGCAGGAAGCCAGGCGGACTCGGTCACTGCCACGCACGTGCAGCTTCTGTGCGGAACCGGCTGCTCGGTCAAGGGGAAAGGCGGCGCCAAGCGTGGCTTGGAAAGTCGAGACAACAGCATCAAGGTCAGGTTCGGCGACTGAAACAGCCACACCAAGTGCTGACTCCGGGGACTTGCTCTCCACGTGGCCCCTTGGAGCTAGAACATTCCATCTCGGTCCCTGGGGCACGGCTGCAGGTGGCTGAGCCCAGGGCCCAAGGACCCCAGACCCACACCTTCAGGAGACGGATCTCGGTTTGATTCCCCAGACAGGCATTTGCAAAGGCACGGTCAACTCAAGATCCAGTTCTGCACAGGTGGGACGCAGGCCGTGGCCCCTCCTGCTGGACCCAAAGGGGTTCCCTTCCTCGGGGTCTCCTGCAACCCAGCTCCACCCCAAGTCAGGTGCGTCCGCCACCCTTCGGAGGACGGTGAGGTCCAGTCTGCAAACAGCAGCCACGCGAGCTGCCCCAGGACTCCTTGTTCTGCACGCAGCCCCCTCCGCCCCCAGCAAGTGGTAACAAAGGGGCACCCTCCCCCATGGCAGGACCCCAACAGCCAAGCGAGAAAGGGAATGTGGGCCACCAAGTGACCTGAGAAATCGGGGCCGGAGACAGGCTGGCGGGAAAGGCCCAGCGAAAGGTGGCCCCGGCCCCCGGGAGCCCCAGGACCTGACCGCCGTGTGCCCCGAGCCACAGCAGTTTTCTTCTGGGCAGGGGCAGCCTGGCAGCCCTGGGTGAATCTGCAGCAGCCTCTGAGCCGACCCCGCGGCCTGGGAAGTCAGGTGCTCAAGTACACCCGCACTTTCCCTCCAGACCATCCCAAGAGCGGCCCCAGACTGCGGACAGACACGGCCCTGCGGAGCACAGTGCCACGGGGCCAGCCCTGTCCACGCGGGCATGGCAGCGCAGCACAGGCAGCGCGCAGAGCTCAACTCCAGCTGCAGTGACCGGGAGTGCAAAGGCGCAGACCAGGCAACGGCAGAGTCTTACAAGGAAACTTTATTCCGCTTTGGGAGGAGGCAAATACATTATTTATCACAGCATCAAGCCCGGAAGGGCCCCTCCGCACTAGCGGACACGCCAGACCCCAACACGGCAGCAGCAGGGGGGCTCTGGGCTGGACGAATGCAGGAGCCCCCGCTGGGCTGATGCCACGGCCAGACTTACCCATCGGGCGAGCTCAAAGACGGAAAGAAAAAGGCCCCCAACTACCACGACTGGCGCCCGGGCCGGGGAGTATTCCCATGCAGGGGCTGCCTGCCTGTCCCGCCCGTCAGGACGACGGCTGACCAGCAGGGCCAAGGACGCAGCGGACAGAACAGTTCATGGCAGTGCGCCCAGCCGAGGCGCCCTCTCCGCACGGCCGGTGCCTCCCGCGGGGCCTCCAGAGCCCAAGGCCAGGGCAGAGATGGACAGAGCCTCGGGCAGTCTCGCACACGTTTTATTACAAAATACAGTTCGAGGTGCTGGGGTGGGGCCCAGGGTGCCCCCGTGTGGGCGCCACTGGCTGAGGACGGGCAGGGCCTGGACACCCGCCTCCCCAGAGCCCAGAGCCACGTCCAGGGCTGACACCCCATGAAAGCTGGGCCCCGAGTCGTGGGGAGACGTGGCCAAACAGAGCGGAGACAAGACGCCTCCGAGGCCCGGGTCTCCGGCCACTACTTCTTGTTCCTGGGTTTTAGCTCCTCGGCAGCATTCCGCAGGAAAATGTAGTTTTTCTTTTGTGGGTTATAAAATTCATGTCCCTAGGGCAAGAAACCAAAGCTCAGCGACACTGACATTACGGAGGGGGGCTCAGCGCTGCCCGTGCCCCCACGGACCAGACACAAGCGGGGACTGAGCAAGCTCACGAGTGGCCGGCCACCCGAGGCCAAGGCCCGTCTGCTCAGGAGGGGGACACGCTTTACTGGCGGCGACACGAGGCCACCTTCCCACGTGGATGTTCCGAGCTCCTAGCACTGGTTCCAGGCCCAGCGACCCCACGCGGACCTGTGTCCCACCACAGGGCAGGAATCCGGAGCGAGTTACTGTGATTTCAAAAGGCCCCCTGCCCGCCCCGGGGGCAGGAGACACTCACGAGCCGAGTGGGGGTGCTAAGGACAGAGCACGCGGGCAGCCTTGGGAAGGCCCACGTGCCACGGGGGCAGAGCACGAGCAGCCAGGAGGGGCGAGTGCAGGCAGCGGGTGGGGCCGCCTGATCTGCTGATGGCCCCCGTGCCCCTGTGGGAGGGCGGCGGGGAAGGGGCCACATAACTGGCAGCTGGGTAGCTCCCAGCAGGCCGTTCCGGCGGCTAGTGCGGGCAGAGGCCGGTTGGAGGGAGGGCAGGAGGGGTCAGAGCCAGCACAGAGCGCGAGGGGCCACACCCAGAGGTGGCAGGCAGGGGCAGCAGGCGGCGGGCCTGGAGGAGCGGGAGGGAGGAGGGAAACAGGAGGGCGCAGCCAGGGGAGAAGTCGGGGCTCGCACGTGCAGGCCAAGTGCTCCATGCGTGGACACCCAGGCAGAGCCACCAGCTGCTTCTCCCCTGGATCCGGGCGGGGACAGCACAGAGGGAGTCACCAGGGAAACCGCCGGGTCAGCATCCGGGGCTTCAGGAGGGCCAGTGGGGGCAGGTGAGACGGGGCCGCAGATGCCCACAGCCAGGCAGAGCTGCCAGCGCCACGAGTCTGCCCTCCCGGGGGCTAGCAAGGAAGCGCCCGGCCTGTCCACACGGGGAGGGCCACGCAGGATGCCCACCTTGGACCAGTCATAGCTGGAGGCGTAGGTGAAAATATTCCCGTTGTGGTTGAAGCAGCAGGCCGCGATGGGCTGGTCCAGCTGCTCGGAGGTCTTCAGCTTGGTCCGGGCGTCCTTGTCCCAGAAGCTGAAGCGGCCGTCGGAGCCCACGGTGGCCAGGGTGCCGTGGACGGGGTGGAAGGCGATGCCGTTGACCTGGCAGGAAGGAGACGCGGTGAGAGCTGGGCGCAGAGGGCGCCCACGGCGAGGCCCTCCTGGGACCCCCACCCATCGTGGCCCACCCCGGCCAACGTACCGCATAGATGTCCTGGGGCGCGGACGTGTTGGTGCCGTTGGAGCGGTGGCACTTGAAGGTGAAGTTGTCCTTGGCGCTGGAACACAAGGACCCTCTCAGTCCCTCACGGGGCACCTCAGGGGAGTGCCCGAGCGCGGGGCCCACTTACGGGTTTGGGGGGTTGATGTAATGAATCGCGACTCTCCCCTCGATGCTCCCCAGGGCGAAGCCAGTGGGCTTGTTCTGCTTGTCTTTAAAAATAGCCACACACCGATGCTGCGGTCGGAAGAGGGAGAGCGTCAGCACGACGCAGAGCTCAGGGGCCCCGACTCCAGTCCACAGCGAAGGGGGTGCGGACCCCCAGAGCAACAGGCCCGTCTCCTAAGCACGAGGACGAAGCCCGCGGCCCCTACTCAGCCCCGAGACTTGAGCCCACAGCAGCCCCCCACTGACCACCTGTGCCTCCTCCACACAGCAGTTCCAGAGGCTCAGCCCGCCTGGCCCTCCCAGGGGTCCCAAGAGTGTCCCTTCCCGCCCGTGTGCTGGGCAGGTCCGAGTGGCAGGAGCGACTCTCGCTGCTTCTGTGACCCCCGTGCTGTTGCCCTCCAAATGGCAAGGTCACGGCTCTCTGCACTCCGCCACCCCCACCTCCCACCTGGTGCTTCAGGGGAGACTCGATCCGCCGGAACTCGGAAGGCTGGTTCTCCAGCTGGTAGACGATCAGGCCCCGCTCTGCCGTGGCCACCACGGCCATGGGGTAGGTCTAGGGCGAAACAGGCAACACCCACCTCACACCAGCGGCTGGGGATCGAGCCCAGGGCCTCACACGTGCCAGTGCTGGGCCCACGGGCCATGTTGCTCAGTCAAAAAGTGCTGGTTTTGATTCCCAAAGTCACAGAGACAAGTCTGATGTTTTTCCTAGTTTTAAAGTCCAACCAACCCCGAGAGCAACACTGCCCCGTGGTACCCGCTGCTCTGCGTGCCTGGCCCCTGGGTTGGCTACCCGCACCCACAAGCCCAATGTGGCCCACAGAAGCCCAGGGAAGCTGTGGACAGAAGCTAATGGTGCCGCCTTCAAGCCTCGGCTCAGGGCTGGACAGCCGACTCCAGGGTCGGAGCACTTGCTCTGAGCCACTAGTTCAGCAGTGCACAGCCCCGGGGCACAGCTGGAGGCCAGGTCCTCCCCAACACTCCTTTCAGATGGGCATCAAGAAAACAGACCAAGACTCGGAAAGGCCACAGTCACCCACTTCCCAAGTGACAGCTGTGAGCGCAGACTCCCTGCGTTTCCGGACACGCCGCGCCAGCCCAGTCACACAGCAGCCAGTGGCGCTCGACAGCCCGGGCCCCTGTCCCTGCCCGCCAGGACCCCTCAGGTCATGCCAGTGCCCCACCACAAGACAGAACCCCCTTTGTCCCATGGTGTTCTGACAACAGATTCCCAAAAGCGAAATAGCTGGCACAGGACCTGAGACCAGAAGGAGGGAGGGTGCCGGGTTCTCTCCGCCCTCGCCCACAGATCATGCCCAGTTGGTGCCCATCATGCCCACTAAGTGCCAAGAAACATCCTCAGTGCTGGCACCAATCGCACGTGTCCGTGGACTAGACATGCTGGACAACGGAAGGGAAGACTCCGGACCGCAACTCAGGCCCAGGGGCTGCCAGTGAAGTTCTAGGGCTTTCCAATGGTCCCTGAACTGCAAAGCAGCAGAGCAGCCTTTAGAAACAGAGAGGGGAGCGTGCTTACCACGTCGGCACAGTAACACCTTTCGGGGAGCTGCAGGACCATCATGGGGTTTGATGACCGCGTGTCCCAGAACTGGAGAGGGACAAAGCCGCGGGTGAGCGCGAGGCAGGTGCCCAGGGCCAGCCCAGCCCCCCGAGGCTGCGGGCGCACGCACCTTCAGAGTCTTGTCCCAGCTCCCGGTCATCACGCAGCTGTAGTTGGGGGCTTTGATCCAGTGGACGGTCTTCACAGGGGCGTCGTGCTGCCGGCAAGGAAACCAGAGGCTGTCACGGGGGCGTCGCAGCCTGCGCACAAAGCTCTCGCCTGGACACTCCAAGCGGGAGTGACTCTCTTTTTTCTCATCACAGCACTCTGGCTTACAAAGTCATTCAGGGTTTTCAGTCACACAATGTGAAGGAACAGCGTTAAAGCCTGAGGTCAGAGGACGCCGAGACCACAATGCTCGCTGGACACAAACACCTTTTCACTGTCCACCCTGACCACGCCAAACTCTGCAATGAGCTAATGGGAGGGGGCGGGGGGAGTGGGGAGATGTCACCGCCTCACTGATGACTCGACTGAGCCCTCCAGATGTCGGCAGTTCTGGATCTCTGAAAAGTTCCCGGGGTCCAGATGCTGGTTTGAGGCCTCTACCTCCCTACGTGACCCTCACCCTTCACGCAGGACCTGGATATACGGGTGACCCTCCCAGGGACCCTGTGGGCGCTAAAGCCCCGGGTCCGGGCACACTCCTCTCTCCGACTTCAGCGTCACTGAGCCCCAAGACACCCTCTTACGCACACAGGCAAGCATGGCACAGCACCCCAGAAGACCAAGAGGACACAGGTCCCAGACGGGGCGAGCTTCGGTGGGACGACCTGGTGCTCGCAAGCCCCTTCCTCGGCTGCCGAGCCTCCTCGCCAAGCCCCGTCCTGGAGGGGCCCGTTACCTGCGCGATCTGAATCGCCTGGTTGCTATTGAGGTCCCACATCTTGGCGGTTTTATCGCACGACGCTGTGAACACTTTGCTCCCGTCCTAGGAGAAGGAGAAGAAAAACCGGCACTCAAGAAAAAGGGAATCTCCGTCTACGGGGTCTGGCGGGGCATGCCGAAAAGGCTTCGGCAGGGTCAGAGCGTTACTTGCGACATTCTGGTTTCACCGCAGATTTTTCTAAGCCGTCTCGTGCGAACAGGCTCGCGAGTCGAATGGCACCCAAGTTCCCCAGGGAGAACAGCGCCCCACACCTGGGGTCACTTTAACCGACTTTACTCTGGCTGATTCCAAAGTGTCCCAAAATTCACGATTAAGATGGCGAGAACCCGAAAGGGCGGCACTAACCGCCTCCCCACAGCTGCAGACCCTGAGCCCCATTTGCTGCCTAACACAGACGCTCCCAGTGGTGCCACGCCCAAGAATCTCCCGGAGAGCATCCCACAGGCCCACTGGTGCCAGACGACCACTGGCCCGAAGTCAACCAGAGAGGCTGGGGACGAGATTAGCACACTCGTGACTTAAAGCACACTCGCACACAGAACTCCGAGAGTTCGTTGGTGAGCTACGAGGAGGAACAAGGTGATTTACAAAGGAGGCGCCGCTCCCTCCGGACCAGGGAGGCGGTGCACTTGCCCTGCTCGCAGCAAGGCCAGGGTCAAGGCCCAGCACCAGACGAAGAGCCGGCACCAGAAAGTCAGCCGAGGTTTCCTGAAGGGGCCTTTGGTTTCTGCGCCTTCGCAGTGGCCCCACGCACACCGCACAAGCAAGTGTGGGCATGTGCCAGTAAGATTCTGTTTGCGTAACTGGACAACGGGTCAGGTGTCGGCCACCGGCGGCCAGTCCGCTGAGCCCCACGGCGACTCTTCTGGTTCCACAACTCAAACATTCGTCACCACCAGCCGAGCAAAGCAATGAAAAACGCCCGGTTTACAACACCAGCAAGGGGGCCTGCAGATGAGTACAGGGAGCAGGTGGGCAGCCCAAGTCCACCCTACGTGGTCCCTGAGTGCAGAGGCAGGAGGAAGCATTGCTGGGTGTGGCCCCAAAAAAAAGACCACGTGTTCCCCCCCCCCCCCCAGCAAAGTGCAGGGCTGAGAAGGGGACGGGGAGAGGGTTCCTGTGAGGAAGATTTCCACGCGCACCCCGGTTCCATCCTGCTGCGCCGTCACATGGGCCCCAGCCTCCTCCAGTCATGACAAACGAAAACAAAGAACCGGCAGAATCGGACTAGACGCCCCTCCCCTCTCTGTGGATGCTCCCTTCAAGTGCTCTTGGCCGAACGCCATCAGAGCGGGCTGGCAGCACCGTAATGGAGTATTATCCCTGGTATTCAACAAAGGATGTTCTTTCAGCGCACACCACGGAGGAGAAATGCACCCTGACTTGAAATCAAGAGCCTCAGCACTTCCCAGAAGGAGTCAACGCACTGCACAACAGGAGCAGAAAATGGCCCCCACCCAGGCACAGGCAACGGGGTTCCGGGGGCTGTTTCCTCAGCACCCACAATAGACACTACCCCTGCCCCCCCCCACCCCAGAGGCCCCCGCCCGCCAGCACTGTCAGTAACATTCCACTCAGGAAAAGCTCTCAGAGACCATCCAACGGACCCCAAGCCATACCCCACTGAGGAAGGACCCCCGCCCCCCGCAGGGCACTCACGTCACTCCAGCAGACATCGAGCACGGGCCCCGTGTGCATCTGCTGGGCCTTGGGGATCGTCTGCCCGCTGTCCTGGACTTCCCAGCAGCGAACCTGTGGGGCAAGGGGAAGCAGATGCAGGGGACCCCCCCTCCCGCCCCCGTCTTCTAAGCCATGGAAACTGAGATGCCAGCGGAGCACGCAAGCCTGGACATCGCCATGACAACAGGGATGGGGAAGCTCACAGAAACTTCACGGTGTTTCCTGCGTGCAGGGCCCTCGCGGCTGGGGCACACTTACATCGTTGGCCCAGGATCCAGCGACGAGAAAGTTGCCGGGCAGAGTGGGGGGGCTGAAGGCCAGGCAGCCGATGCTGTCGTCCGGAGAGGACGTGACTTCGATGTCCTGGAGGAGGGAGAGTCACACCCGAGCACTTTCCCCAGCGACTGTCCCAGTGTCTGACCACAACGTTGGTGCCGGCACCCCCCTCCCCGGGGCCCCTACAGCGATTGGACTCAGCAGATGGGACCGGCCCATCAGAACCCAGGGGACACAGGCGTCCAGGGGAGCTGCGCACTGGCCCCTGGGCAGTTTCTGAGCGTCCACCCAAAGGAGGCCCCAAGTGGACAGGGTTGTCCTGCTGTCCCCGGGGAGGCCCGGCCCGGCCAGCAGTCACCTTCATCGGGTTGTGGTTGTCCGTGGTCGGGCTGCCAAACATGGTCCCGCCAGTTCCGAACCCCGAGGTTGTGCCGAAGAGACTCATTTTGGCCCTGGAAGAGACAGAAGCGCTAAGGACGGTGAAGCCAGAGAGGGGGAGACAGGTGAGGGGACCGTCTCGCCCAAGGAGGACACATCTTTCTGGACGGTCCACCGCAGAACTGCTCCTGAGGCCCAGGACATCCCCACAGATGGCCGGTGTGTGACTTCGCTCACACACGCAGTGACTCACGAACGAACCACTGCTGAAGCACAGCGGGGTCGGGGGCACCCGAGGTCAGCCACCCCAAAGAAATAAAGGCGCGGGCCTTGAGCTGGGGCGAGTCCTGATGGAGCCCCCCAGCATCTGGTCTCGATGGACCCCGCAGGAGGAGTTCGTGCCCTCTGTTTGCCGGAAAAGCCAAGCCAAGGCCGGCCCTTGTGTGTGGGTCACTGACCAAGAATCTGGGCCATGGGGCTTTTCCCGGGCAGCCTGGAGGGATGAGGCCGGCGTCTCACCTGACCTCATCCTGCCCACCCTGCTGCTAAACCGACACGAAGCCCGTCACCCGCTCCGTGGCGAGGCTCCGGCCGTGAGTCAGCTCGTTTGCAGAAAGGGGCACCGCGGCACGTGGCCACGTTTCCACAGGCTTCCACCTGCGTCCCCGGTCAACGCGGTTTCACACCCAGAAGCCACCTCTCCCAGCGCGCGCAAGAAGCGCGTGACGAGAGCCGGCAGCACCTCCGGGCACGGACCCCGGGGAAGCCCGAACCCGTGGGGCATTTTGGGAGCATCCCAAGCGTCACGCCGCCGCCGGCAAGTGCAACCTCGGAGGCCGGGCGCTCCCAGGCCAGGCAAGGCTAGTGGACACCTCCCGTCCCGGCACAAAGACTCCCCTGGTTCCAGGCACAGGAACGACCGCCCAGACCCGGCAAGGGGGTCAGGGGTGGACTCTGCAGACTCGACGGGTGCTGGGGGAGATCACACTCATCGAGCACTGAGTCTGCCTGGCAGAGAGAACGACGGGCAACTCGACGGGGCTTTTCCCTCTGGATCGGCCACACCTGGGGGAGCTCGGGCTCAGACCCGGGGTGGGGGCTCAGGTGTGGTGCGAGGGATCCCACGGTGGGGGGGGCTTTCTGCAGGGCAAACGCCCCATGAGCTCCGGCCCCTGAGCAGCAGGTCACTAAAGGCGGAGGCACAGTACAGAGCGAAGGCCCCGGCCCGGGTTCGATTCCCAGCACCCCACCCCGTGTCCCACCCAGCCCACGGGCATCGCTGGGCGCGGTCTGGTCGAGACTCCAGAGAGGCCCCTGGGCTTCCTCCTCCTCCTCCTCCTCCTCCTCGACCACCGGGCTGGAGACCTTGGGGGGAAGCCCTTCCCTCGGCCTCCTGGGTCCTGGGACCCCCCCAAGTCCGGGGGTCCGAACCTCTGCGTCCTCCCCAGCTAGGGGCGCGGCCCGGCCCGTCTCCCTGGGACCCGGGCGCAGGCGGCGGGATCTCTCCGGGGGGCGCGGGTCTCCCCGTCCTGGCCGCTCGCGGGGGGGGCTCGATCCCCACCGCGGGGGACCCCCTGCAGCCCCCCGGCCCCCCCCCCCGGCGGCCCGGAGTCCCCGCCCCGGCCCCCCCCCGCGGCCCCTCTGCAGCCCCTCCCCACGACCGCCCCCCGCGGCCCCCTCCCCACGACCGCCCCCCGCGGCCCCCTCCCCACGACCGCCCCCCGCGGCCCCCTCCCCACGACCGCCCCCCGCGGCCCCCTCCCCACGACCGCCCCCCGCGGCCCCCTCCCCACGACCGCCCCCCGCGGCCCCCTCCCCGCGGCCGGGCGGGGCGGGTCCGGCCGCACCTGGAGCGCGGCAGCGCCGAGGACACGGGCGCCGCCATCGTCCCCGCGGCCGGCCGAGCCCGCCCCGCGCCGCCCCGCGCCGCCCCGCGCCCGCCAACCGCCGGCTCGCGCCCCGGCCCGCGCCTACCTGCGAGCGGCGGCGCGCGCGGCTGGACTCGCGGGCCGGACTCCGCTGGCCGCCGCCGACCAGGCCGAGGGGCGCCGCCGACTGCCGCGCGCGCCGAGGGGGAGGGGCGGGCGCCGCGGACGCAGTGCGCACGCGCCGCCGGCCGCTTCCGGGGCCGCCCGGAAGGCGGGGAGGGAGCCCGGGGCGCTCGCGCCTGCGCACGGGCGCCGGCGGGGGCCGGGCCGGAAGCGGGCGGGCGCGGCCCACGCGTTGCCGGGCGACGGGGCGGGTCCCGCGGCGCGGGTCCCGGCGCGCGGGGCTCGGTCCGAGGCCGCGGCCCCCAGCGGCCTGCGGGGGAGCCGGGAGCCGGCGTCGCCCTCGGCGGGGCTGCCCGGCGGGCCGTAGGGGGCGCCGGCGCCCGGGCCCCATCGCCGGCCGGGAGGGGGGGCGGCGGTTTCGGGGTCCGCGGCCCGCGAGTCTCGTCCCTCCCTCGCGCCGCGCCAGCCTCCCGCTCCCGAGCGGATCGTCTCTGCGTTTCCTCTTGCTCGTTTTTTGAAGTTTCGAGTCTACTCGATGAAAATGCCGAGGTTGACGGCGTCGTTCGTCGTCCGACCGTCCTGCCAGCGCCCACCCGTGTCCTCGGCCCCCTCGGCGGGGACATACATGCAACCGCTCCGCGCGGCCTGCGCCGCCGAGGCAACTGACGGATTGGCAGATGGAACTAGCAGAGAGCAAATCAATAAAGGCCGTTTCCGATGGGTTGCTATGTGATTGTGAGCTACATCAATAACTGCCGATCGCTCCATGCAATGATACGATGCCGCCTCCCGGGGGCTGGAGCGAGAGCACCGCGGGGAGGGCGTTTGCCTGGCACGCGGCCGACCCGGGTTCGATTCCCAGCATCCCATAGGGTCCCCCCCTCCCGAGCACCGCCAAGGGTAATTCCTGAGTGCATGAGCCAGGAGGAAGCCCTGAGCGTCGCCGGGTGTGACCCAAAAAAGCAAAATAATAATAACGATATGCCTACTCCTTCCTGTGGACTCGCCAAGCTGTCTTCTGCCCCAGGAGATCGTCTGTCTCTGCCTCTTACTTGCATGAATACGGCCCTGAAGCACCAAGTATTTTGTCTTAGATGTAAATGCCAGGGCTAGAGCGATAGGGCGTTTGCCTTGTGCGCAGCCGGCCGGCCGGCCAAGCCGGGTTCAATTCCTCCGCCCCTCCTGGGGAGCCGGGCAAGCTACCGAAAGCATCTCACCCACACGGCAGAGCCTGGCAAGCTCCCCGTGGCATACTGGATATGCCAAACACAGTCACAACAAGTCTCACGATGGAGACGTTACTGGGCCCGCTCGAGCAAATCGATGAACAGCGGGAGGACAGTGCTACAGTAAATGCCAAAACGGTGTTAAAATTATCTGTGCCGAACAACTCCACACCCAAGGAATCTTCCAGAAACTCCTGGTTATTCACTATCGTACTTTTAAAAAATCCCTCTGCTTAGAGCTTTATAATTGGCGGCTGCTTTTGCATCGATCACACACAGTAGCAGCTGCACGCTGTCAACAACCACCACCACCAAAAACTAAGAGTTTCTTAACTCCTTCACTATGCACTCTGCAGTATTTTGCTTAGCTCTCACAATGCCACATGGCGTGTGTTTTCAAGACCCTGAGAGCCTGGTGACAGTTGAGGAAAGGCAGGTAGGTTGCCGCTTGTCCCAGGCACAGAGGCCACGAGTAACGGCAGATGTGATGTGACGTGACGTGATGTGATGTGATGTGGGCTCCTCTTGGTCTGACTCTCCTCCACAGAAGGTGCTCCTGAGTGACGCCCACTCGCCCTGGGCACCAGAAGGGGGTCCGTAAAGTCTGTAACTGGGTGCTGGAGCCACCCACCCACTGCACAGTGGGCCGACCCGGGTTTGAGGCCTGGCACCAGGAGTGGTCCCCGAGCGCCGCTGGTGTGGCCCTCCAAACACAGTTCACAACGATCGTCACACTTCGAAGGCGAGCGGCCAATCAAAATCTAAACTGCGATTCGGTGGTGCAGACATCCGCGGGGGAAGCTCCTTTTGCGATTCTTTGCACGGAACATTGATGAACGTCGTCCGTTCCAGGGGGCAGAGGCCACGCGTGGGGTCAGCCTCTTTCCACGGGAGGGTCTCGGGTCTGGGAGGGGAATCGCTCTGCTCGGGCTCGCAGCCCGTGGGGCCGGCGAGAGGCGCTGGCCAGCGCAGCGCGGGGCGCGGCACCCCGGCCCCTCCGAGGAGGCTGACCCTTTCTTCCCGTGACTTCCCGCCACCTCTTTCCTGGCCGTCCACGGGTTGAGCGGCGGGGGCGGAGACGGCGAGCGGCCAGCAGGGGGCGCCCGCGGCCCGCGCTGACCGTTGCTGCTCCGGCCAGTCCCTTCCCGCCAACACGCGGCGCCTCGCCCCGGGGACGTCCCTGCACAGCGCGGTCCGAGCGCCTGCAGCCGTCCCGGGCTGGGCTCGGCCACGAGCAAGGTGTCTCCTCCTGCGCCACGAGCAGGATCCTGCCCCCTGGACAGTCAGTCGCCAGCGGCAGTCCCCTGAAGTCCCGGGGTTTCCTGGGGCGTCTGCAAAGTGCGAGCTGCTGGGTTCCCCCTGAAACTGGCTCTTCCGTCATCAGCTGTGACAGCGCATTGCCCAGACGCTGGGGGACAGTCCGGACAGTCTTATGAGGCTGACGTCTGAGCCCTGAAGGGAAGACCACGAGTTGCTCCGATCTCAAGCCTCTGTGTACCTTGGAAACGAAGTTCTTAGTTGGACAAGCCGCGATTACAGAATTCAGGGACTTGAATTTGGTTGAGACCGAATAAAAACTTGGAAAGAATGTTCAGGTAAATCATACCATTAAAAAAAGCGTACTTAAACACAAAGTGAAGAAAGCACTTTATCAATCCAAACGTTTAAGCACAATCATTACTAACTCCAGAAATGAATAAATGAATCTCCTCTATGAAGGCAAAGGAAAATACAAATAAATAAAAATAAATATGACCTATTTTATCTTTTTTTAATTGGTTTTGTTGGGGGGGTCCACACCCAGCGGTGCTCAGGGCCTACCGGCCACTGGCTTAGGGATCCCTCTTGGCGGGGCTAGGGAGACCATAAGGAGCACCTGGGATCAACTTGGAGTCACTGCACACTCTCTGATAGGCTCTCTCTCCAGCCCCTATTTTATTTTTATTTTAATAAAATACTTGACATGCCTTGATAGTTATAATGTATCACAATCACGATCACGACCACCCTGTTGTTCGTCGATTGCCTTGAGCAGGTGCCAGTAATGTCTTCTTCGTCCTAGCCCTGAGATTTTTTTTTAAAGTGCCATATTCAAGGCTCTTTCAGGGTTAGGAGAATGAGACCCATCATTGTTACTGGTATTTGGCATATTGGGTACACCACGGGGAGTTTTCCAGACTCTGCCATGTGGGCAGGTTACATTTGGTAGCCTGCCAGTTTGTCCAAAGTAGGAATGAGATGATAAGATGTCACTTCCGGGAGCTGAGTGTGATAATCTCTGGATCCTGGCCGTTGTTGGAGTTATACGGCAGTTGGTGGGTGTAACTGTCTAGTTACTGGCAGGTCCAGTCTCAAACCGTGCAGGCTTGGAAATCTCAGCCCTGGGTCCCACACACCTGGGTTCTTCTGCCAGTTCTTTTATGCGTGAGGCTCATCCAAGTGTGTGGAGAGTGGTCCCAGCATGGCCTTGGCTGGGCCCCGGTGGTCTTCAGCTGTTGGGCCCTGGTGGAGACAGTCAGGCATAGGGTAGGAGACTCTGTCTTGTTCTCTCCCAGGAGCTGAGTGTGATGATCTCTGGATCCTGGCCGTTGTTGGAGTTACACGGCAGTTGGTGGGTGTAACTGTCTAGTTATTGGCAGGTCCAGTCCCAAACCGTGCAGGCTTGGAGATCTCAGCCCCGGGTCCCACACACCTGGGTTCCTCTGCCAGTTCTTTTATGCGTGAGGCTCATCCAAGTTATAATGTATAGAGTAAAATATTTTTATACTTTAATTACATATACAAGCACTGTAGCACTGTCCTCCCGTTGTTCATCAATTTGCTCAAGCAGGCGCCAGTAACGTCTTCATTGTGAGATTTGTTACTGTTTTTGGCATATCGATTATGCCACGGGGAGCTTGCCAAGCTTTGCTGTGCAGGGTGGATACTCTTGGTAGCTTGCTGGGCTCTCCAAGAGGGGCAGAGGAATCGAACCCGGGTCAGCCACGTTCAAGGCAAACCCCCAACCCACTGTGCTATCACTCCAGCCCAACATAGGTAAAGATAAAGGTAAAGACCCTCCCGTTGATGGTCGATTTGCTCGAGCGGGCCCAGTAACGTCTCCACTGGAGACTTTGTTGTTACTGTGTCTGGCATCTCGAATACGTCACGGGGAGCTTGCCAGGCTCTGCCGTGCGGGCAAGATACTCTCGGTAGCTTGCCGGGCTCTCCGAGAGGAGCGGAGGAATCGAACTCGGGTTGGCCATGTTGGCCGCTTGTAAGGCGAACGCCCTACCGCTGTGCTATCGCTCTTAGTTGGTGGAGCGATTTGTCTGCCAGCCCAACATATACATAGAAATTTCAAATAAAAATTAAAAGTAACACCACATTCTCTTAGAGTTTATTTTTGAGCACTGGATTCTATCACTTTTTACAGAGACATATAAGGGCTTCTAAAGAAAACTAGAATACAGCATTATTTTGACAGAAAATGTAATTAATAAATTAAGTTACCTCTAGAGAATTAAGAATACCGGTTCTTACAGCAGTATCACTACTGAAGACAAAAATGAATGAAAAACCTCCTGCAAGCCCACGTTGTTTGGATATATTTTCATATCCATCCTCCAAATTTTAATTTATTGGGTAAGTATACTCTGGAAAGATAATCTGATGACAGGGAGGTCAAGGCTTGGATTTCCGCCTTCGTTTTACTCTCAGCCATTAATTCCATCTGTCAGTAAAGTAAGTTGAGTCACATCAGAATTTTTTGTTCCAGTTCCATCAACTCAAACCAGTCAACCTAACTTAACCTTTTCTCTCCCCCAAACCATGAATGGTAGCCTTTATGGTCAGCCAGAATAGTTCAGAACTGTAAAGTTAAAAATATCAGGATGATTTCTAATATCGATGACTCCAATAACCAGGAGTGATCTGTGGTCCTTGGCATTTCATGCCGTCTCCTCCCACTCCCCCATCAACTACGACACAACCTGATCAATGACTATGTAACTGTGACAGGAATGAAAACACGCCACCTCATCCAACCCTTTTCTGTTAGTATTTGTCATTTGACGTTCCAATTATCACTTATTGGCAAACATTATATGCTGGGTATATAATATTTTAAGGAGGCTATTTTCAATATCCTATGGAATAATTACTACTTAAATAAGAGGGAGTGAAACATGCAACATTGAAATTTTAAAGACAAACATAACTTCTTGGGGTCGGAGTGATAGTACAACAGGTAGGGCACTTGCCTTGTAGGCAGCTGACCCGGGATCCATCCCCGACATCCCCATATGGTCCCTTGATCTCCACCAGGAGTGATCCCTGAGTGCAGAGCCAGGAAGAAGCCCAGCTGTGGCCAATTCCCACCCCCAACAACAACAACAACAGAAAAAAAAAGAATAAGAAAAGGAGAGAGGGAGAGAGGGAGGGAGGGAGAGAATTAAAGATAAAGACAGACAGACAGACATACTTCCTGTTTCCAAAAGGGTTGGCAGTTAACATAAGGTCTCTTCAGGATACTGTCAAGTTTCATTTGGTCCTGTTTTGTCAGTGGAATCAAAGTATCTTTGGATATATTTAACCTAAAAAATAGATCTCCAATTCAGCAAAAACAGTGTTCCTATAACTGGAAGAGCACATACATTTCACTTGCGCTTGCACTTACTGTACTACTTTAAGAAACTCAGAAAGAAAAGGAAGAAGATGAGTAAACATTTCCTTGTGAGGGGAGGCAGGAGCACACCCATTGATGCTCAGGGTTGGTTCCCCTGGCAGGATCTACCTAGTGAATGACAGGAATCGAACACAGGTGCAAGGTCAAAGCTCCACCCACTGGGCTATTGCTCCAGCCTCAAGACCCACTTTTTCAATCCATAACTAGGAACAGGAGTGGGCTGAGCCTGGCCTGTCCGCGACACTTGCTGCGGCTGTTTCCCCCCCTTTTTTTTTAAATTTTGGGGCCACACCTGGCTGTGCTCAGGGATCATTCCTGGTAGGGTTTGGGAACCATACGAGACGCTGGGAACTGAACCTGAACTGGCCACCTGCAAGGCGAATGTCCTACCTGTTGTATGGTCACTCCAGTTGCTAGCCCCTTGCTTTGGAAACTACGGGTTGCAATCCCATTTGGTAATAAGGTAACTGCATGCGGGGTGTTCAGAAAAAATAGGCAACAGTAAAAGGTTTCTGCAAAACGACCAAAAATTCAAAATGAACCAGATTATGAATCCAAGATGTTTCTGGTATTTCTCAGGCAAAAAGGGATCCTGAGTGGAAAAGTTGAAGAAATCCTATCCTAAACCAGCAAGCCTTTAAGTTCATGGTAGAAGTTTGTCCTGAGTGGTTTTCCTTCATGTCTTACTCACACAGTAATGGCAGGCACTGGCTATAAGCTGAATGCCAACAGCACCAGCACCCAGTCGCAACTTAGTGGCCGGCAGTGGCACTCATTCTCAGCAGTGCAGCCTGCAGGGTGAGGCTGAGGGCCAGGTGCCAGGACCACAGTTCTGCTGGGCTCTGAATTCGTGGTAATTCACTAAGAATTTTCTTAATGAAAAGGAAAGTTACTCTATCACTTTTTTTTTTTAACTTTTTGTCTTTGGGCCAACCTGGCAGTGTTCAGGGATTACTCCCGGTTGAGCTCCAGGGACCATAGGGGATGCCCGGCATCAAACCCAAGTTGGCCACGCCTAAGGCCAGTGCCATTCCCACTGGACGATGTCTCCGGCCTTCTAATACCGTCTGTACATACTAGATGCATGCACATAGGTCTAGTTTCAAAGTTTAAAGAATGCAATTTTACCTTGGGCTGGAGTGATAGCACAGCAGGTAGGGTGTTTGCCTTGCACGCAGCGGACCCAGGTTCGATTCCTCCATCCCTCTCTGAGAGCCTGGCAAGCTACCGAGAGTATCCCACCTGCACAGCAAAGCCTGGCAAGCTCCCCGTGGCATATTCGATATACCAAAAATAGTAACAAGTCTCACGATGGAGACGTTACTGGTGCCCGCATGAGCAAATTGATGAACAACAGGAGGACAGTGCAGTGCTAATTTTACCTTGATAAGTGTTCAAGAACATGCAAGATCCAGGATTTATGGGGTAGGCTACATTTTGAAGGCGCAAATCCTGAATTTCCCGAGAAAGCTCCAGTTTCAAAGTCTTTTGTGACGCCCTAATTTCATAATTTAATTTGCCAGTGGCAAGTTTCTGGATTGGTGACAATGTGACCCTAGGCTAAGAGTTTCTCTGGAAGCTGTTTCCGTGTGGCTACCACCCTGCTGGCATTATGACTTCAGGATGATCTGGAAGGACTCTTGGGGGAACGCGAGAGACACCAGAGTTCCCCTGAACTCTCCACTTTAACAGTTACTAGATTACTCACACTGAGTGTGCATTAGAAATCATCTTCAGACAAACATACATACACAAAAGTAAATAAAACTTGGATTCACTGGAGCAAAAGCATTAAAAACATAGAGTAAACACTCCTGTGTGTACTCATTTTACTTTTCTTTTTTGTTTGTTTTAGGGCCACACCCAGTGCTCAGGGATTACTCCTGGCTCTGCATTCAGGGATCACTTCTGGCGGTGTTTGGGATACTGGGGATAGAACCCACGTAGGCCTCATGCAAGACAAACCCCTACCCGTGGTCCTATTGTTCTGGCTCCTATAATTTTCTAAGACATGGTTGATCATTACCCCAAATCTGTTTAAACTCTAATTTAAGAAGCAAAAACCTGGGGCTGCAGCGATTGTACAGCGGGTAGGGCATTTGCCTTGCATATGGCCAACCCGAGTTCGACTCCAAGCATCCCATATGGTTCCCTGAGCACCAGCAGGAGTAATTCCTGTGTGCATGGGCCAGGAGTGACCCCTGTGCATCGCTGGGTATGACCCAAAGAGAAAAAAAAAAGAAGCAATAACCTGATACCAAGGTTTGCTCACTGCTAAAGAAATTCAATAAGCATGTTTAAATTCATCATTACTTAACTTTAGGGGCTGGAGAGATAGTACAGTGGGTAGGGCGCTTACAGACTATTGACCCTTATTCAATCCAAAGCATCCTACAAGGTCCCATGAGTGTGCCAGGAATGATTCCCTGAGCATGACCAGGTATGTCCAGAAACCAAAAATGATAGTGGTGGAGATGAGTTAAGTTGGTAATATGGTAAGTTTAGGAAGAGGTGTGTGCTAAGCACGAAAATTAATGGGGAAAGCATGAAAATTAACTTGTCCAGAGGTAAACTCTGAAAAAATGTATAACACGTTTAATCCAGCAATTTTGTGAATCTGTTCTACAGGATAAGAGATGTGAGCAAAGGGTTAGTTTACAGGAAGGTCTCTCCAAACTTTGTAAGAACAGTGATCTGGAAACTACCCAATGTCCCCCTACAACAGATTGACTAGCAAATTCTGGTATGTCCAGAACTGGGACTCAGTGGCATGAGAATTAAAATAAGGCCATAGAAGACAAATGTAATTACTGATATAAAGATAGTCATTATGTATTGAAAGAAAATCATACATAAAATAACAAAGTGTGATCTCAAATTTATGATTATGCACAAAAAGTAATAGACATGGGTAAAGCAACACATACGTGGGTCATTTTTACCTACTTCTTAATACTTTCCTATAATGGATATATATATATATACACACATATATATACATATATGTGAAACTTGTCAAAATTTAGGTTTCAAAACTTTAATAACTTTAAGAGAAAAATTTTAATAAAATTAAATGTCTAAATAGATGATAAAATTGAGTCATGGGTAGGAGTGATAGATAGTACAGAGAGTAAGACACGTGCCTTGCACACGACTGACCTGGGTTTGATGCCCAGCGTCTCATATGTTCCCCCAAGCACCATCAGGAGCAATTCCTCAGCAGAGAGCCAGGAGTAATCCCTGAGCATTGCTGGGCGTGACCCCAAAACAACAACAAAGAAATCTGAGTCATATGGCAAACGATTTTTCTCAATTATTACCATTTAGCTCAACTCAATGTTTTATATTTTCTAAGCATAAAATATTACACAATATTTTGCCATAAAAGTCATAGTTTTCTTGCTAGCTGAACTTTAATTAATGAAATTCATCTGTTAAATATTTTAGTAGTTCTTTTTTGGGTTTTGGGGCCACACCCAGTGATGCTCGGGGCTTACTACTGGCTCTGTGCTCAGACTCTGGAGACCTTCGGGGTGCCAGGGATCAAACCCAGGTCTAACACATGTGAGGCAAGTCCCTTGCCCTCCTTATCCTCTCTCCGGCCCCAATATTTTAGTAGTTTAAATAGAAGAATACTTGTGAATCAAATTCATAACTACATAATGCCAAGTCAGTGTGAACAATATAAAATTTAAAATCCTTCAAAGTGTTGTTCTTTTAGGCTCTGCCACCTTCTGCCGTGTGCCATGAGTTCCCAGCACCCACCTAACCTTTTAACATCTGAAGGGAGGAGACCGAGCCATCTTACAGCCGGAACGGTGAGATTGTGGGCTTCGAAGGACATAGACTAAAACAAAACACAGAAGATTAGACAAGACTAAGTTGCAGAGAACTAGAATACTTATTTTTGTAGTCAAATTTTTCACTTTTGAAAAAAGATAAGTACTAAAGTTCACATAGAACTGAAGACAATCACCTGGAGCTTCAATCAGTCAGCTGGACTTCCGGTCACAGAGAAGGGAGAAAACCTCTCAGTAATATGTGTCTTTGATTTTCCATCAAATAAAACTACAAACGAATCCTCTGGCCTGCATTTATTACTGTGACTCAGTGTCTTAACTTCTTGCTATCCCTTCCATCTGCTACAAACGTACCCCAGGGACACTCAGGCTGCACACTGCTGATCCCCAAAAGCTCTTGGTAGGCCCACCCCTAGAGATTCCAAACAAGGGTGGGGTTGGGGTTTGGGCTGAGATCTGCAGTTCTGTGAGTCCCAAAGTGAGGCTGACCGTGCTGGTCCTGGACCACACTTTGAGAACCCTGGTCAGTGGCACTGGCACATTCTAGCACTGACATGTGGTGGTTTTCTCATTTCTTCTTATGGTGGGAGAAAAAGAAATTGGCAAAGTTAGAATCTGAGGTTATATATAATTTCCAGAGCATGTTTGTCGATCACACAGTGCTATGAACCTTGGGGTACCACAATCCTTTCAGCAAATCAAGGGAGTAGAGAATGCCTCTTGCCCACAGCTAACCCGACTTTGCCAGCTGTGGTGACACTGGTTGTGTTAGAAGCCGAATCAGCCCCTGAAAAAGCCTGGCTGTAGCCTAGGAAATTAGCTCCCCGGCACATTTGGAGGCCCCCTGCTCACGAGGAAATGCAGAAACCACACGACCGAACAGGAAATCTTACAGTGGCAAAGCAGGAAACTACTTTTCTGTACTCACCATAGATCCATACTTGTAAATACACATTATTTCTATGCCTGGTAAAAAAATTGCTAAAATTAGTCTCGTATGTTATAGCCTTCAACATTTGCACTCTCAAATTATATCTAATATCAGTAACGGTTATGTTTGTGGGCTAATATTATGATGAAGAACTTATTGTTCAGTTTGAAATGGCAAATTAGCAATATAAACTGCCTCAAAGTCATAATCAATCATATTAGACATGAATCATATCAATAATATTTTTTTAAATTTTACAAATGTTCTAAGTAAAACCACAACTACAAATATGTTTTAATTGTGACTCTTGGTTCAAATAGTCAAGTGATGATAAATTACCGTGTGGATCAGCATCTACAAGAGTGAAAATGGGAATCTGAAATGTGTCCCACAGCTTCCTGACTAAAAGTCTGGTGTTCAGATCCGGCACTCCCTTTCCCTAAAAGCAAGAGTGAAAGTAAGCATTCTGATTCCAGTCGAATGAAACTATTGAAAGGATGGCTTAATTTCACCGGAAGTGTAGAAATTCACTTTCCGTTTTGGGTAGGGGAAGGCTGATGCAGACTAGAGTAAATGCACAGTACGTACAACGTGCTAAGATGCCCACCATGATTCCTAACACTCACTCAAACTCCCCAGTCCTGGAAAGAGCCCTAAAGGAAGTATTTCAGCACAAACAGGAACGGAGAAAGTCTGCACCAAGACACTGCCACTTATGATGACGAGCTACTAAGGAGTCAGACCATCTAGCCTCCGGGACAAAGAGAGGCTGCGCCATCGGCTCTGCACTACTTAGCGGGCTGAACTCGGGGGATGAGGAAACCAGCCTGTGTTTCATTCAGGGCTCTGTGGGACGCCTTACAGGGTGTTTATAAGGTTATTACAGAGCTTAAATTAATAATCATAAAGCACTCAGAAGAGTACCTGGCTTAAATTTAGGATTTAATAAACCTCAAGTGGTGAAATAACACAAAGTTATTTAAACACTAATTATGTAGAAAAAATAATGTACGGAGTATTAAAGTAACACTGAGAGAGAAAAGCAGAAAACCACATAAAGCATGAGCAGCAAAGGAAGCAAGAAGAGATTAAGAAGGACTTGGAGTTGAAATTCCCTCGCTGCCTATCCTTAGCAGGAGACAATAGGCCGGTTACCAAGTCTTATTAGTCCGTGGCATCATTTATAAGATGGAGATAAATATGCCTGCCACACAAAATTCAGTGAGTAGCGCTCGATAGAAATGCGGAACTGTGTGAATGCCAACAGTCATTTATCGTGGTGGTAATTACGTCCCTGCACCCCAGGACCCTATTATTGGAATGGAATGCTGACAGCCCCTGCCTCCCAGGGATGTCTGGGAGCCTTTACCAGCTGATATGAGACCATGAGCAGTAAATGCCGACCCAAACCATGTCAAGTGCTTAGCAGACTAGAGTGAATGATAGTGTAGTTTAACTTTTCCCTTGGAGAAAAGAGAGCACATTGAGTGGCAGAAGGTCAAACCTTGTAGCATTTGAACATTCGAAACTTTGGAAGATGTACCAGAGGACATCGAGTGACGAATGGCCCCTCCCAGTCTGACCCTCAGCTCCGCACTGCAAAAGGAAGCCACTACTGCTGGGCTTGTGGGTGTTTCATGGTAGTGGACCCATCACCAGTGGGGATGGCACAGAAGCAGGGCACAAGAAGAGTAACAGTAGGCAAAGAGGGTGCTGGGTGTTTTTTCCCTTCTACAATGGTTGTTGTGTTGCCTTCTAACCAGCTATGCTAGCTGCGTATCTCCAAAGTGTTCGTACCAAACGAACCCTCCAGCGCCCAGGGCGAGCCGGAGACCCAGGTCTCTGCAGCTTTCCTCAGCTGTCGTGGTGTGAGTCAAGAAAAAGAAGACGACAAGGCTGGAAAGTGAATCTGAGGGCAGCCTCCGCAAGAAGATATTTCTGGGGCTCAAATATAGACTATTTTTGGGGGGTGGCATATCCGGCGGTGCTCGGGGATCATTCCTGGCAGGGTTCAGGGGGCTCCATGGGGTGCCAGGGATTGATTTCAGGTCAGGAGTGTGCGAGGCAAGGCCCCTACTCGCAGTCTTCTCCCTCCCGCCCCTACTTAGTTTAGAGGTTTCAGGCTGCACCTCCCATCTTAACTATGGACTCTTCACTGAAGCAGGCAAACGTCACAAGGATTTCCTGCTAAAATCTCAACATCCCGCTTCCAAAACCACACACCAAATCTTTCCTCCTTTCTGCACTTGGTGTGTGTGTGTGTGTGGGGGGGGGGGCAGAAGTAGGGGGAGAGGGGGAACAAAGGATTTAAAAAATTGTGCTTCCAAGAGGCGACCCAGGGGGGCAGGAGGGAAACTGGGACACTGGTGGAGGGAAGTAGACCCTAGTGAAGGGATTGGTGTTGGAGTACCGAAATCTAAGACACACTCAGGAATCACTCTGTTAACTCTGTAACTCATGGTGGTTCAAAAAAAGTTTAAAGTATCTTTCCTTCTGAACAGAGCCTTCTTGTCAGTGACCCTCAGTCCTTCCCCGCAAGTTTTCTTTTCTCTCTCATTTGTTTTCTTCACTGGTCACTTGCCTGTGCCCTCCCCTTCTGATGCCATTTCCCCCTGGAATATTCTGGGAGTCCACCTGGGGGGGGTCCCATGGCCCAGGCTGAGAAAGGAGAGGTGACTCTCAACCATGCCATCATGTCAGTCATTCTGATCCCTCACCCAGGCTCCCCAAGGCCACTGGAATGGCCCTTAGGAAAGGCCTCCCTCAGTCTCCTCCCCGCTGATCCTGACACCAAGACGGCCACCCACAGCTCCCCTGGCTCCTGGCCCTCCCGACCTAACTGATGCTTCTGCTAAACATTCTTCAGCATTCTACCACGAGGCCCCTGGGACTGCCCCCATTTCCCAGATGCCTCAGCCCCCACCACTCAGCCCCCTGCGGCCTACAGTTCTGCATTACTGGCACTTTCCCAAACATTGAAAGTAAGTGGGTGCCTTTGACCGAATTAACTTGCTACACAAAGTGGAGTGAGGAAAAGGAGGCGTGGCTTGTTTTGTTCCATTTCCCCCCAAAGCCTCAGGGCTACCAAGTTTGAGTCTAGACATGCCCCTGGGAAAGGTGACACCCCTCCCCCCAAAAGACTGGCTCAACTCGCTATAGCAAGTCACTGTACTTAAAAAATGGGACCACTACCCTTATTTCAGTGAGATTTAGTGTGATTTAAATGAACTTTTTGGGCATTTTTGTTCTATAACCCCAAAGGGCGCTTCCAATTGATTAGAGAATAACATCATAAACTCCCTTGTAAAATGCTCTAAATTGTGTTGGTCTTGGAACTGTGTTAAAAGTCTATGATGTACCGTCACCATGATGCAGGGAGACATTTTGTGGCAAAAGCTATCATCTAGGAGGCGCTGAAATGTTGCATCTTTTTCTACAATTAACAGAAATTTCGCATCTGTGATTAAGTCTGTGAAGTTAAGGCTGATAAACAGAAGACAAGGGTATTTCAGTTTCACCACCGACTGAAAAGCCGCTCTTGGTTCAGTAGTTTCCATTTTATCTACAAACGTAGAAACGAATCCTTAGGTCTGTCTTCCCCACAAGATGGGGAATGCCTAAGAGTCCTGAAGAGGAAACCATGGTGTGTTCCTCTTGGCCACTATAAGGTCTAATTGGTTCCATTTACAAGATGAATGCTTGATTTATTAGAGTAATGAGTGAAATGAACATTCTGTAAGTTTATACGGTTTTTCCCTCTCAAAGGATACTCTGAATTCCTTGAATATTAGATGGCACAGCTACAGCCTAAGTTTAAAAAAACAAGACAGATTTTATTTTAAATATAAAGTAAGGATAACCACATTTTAACTTTTATCACACCGACTATATTTTCATTTTTCTTTGGAAAAGAAACCTCTGGTGGCCAATGAAAGAAGAAAACCAGTGGGAAACATTTACTCCTCGGAAGGAAAAGAGATGAATGACCCCAAACCTTTTCCCAGCAAGGAAAGACTTCCTTAGGCCACTGCTCACTGCAATTACTCTTCTCCTTGCTAAATCGCTAAGTCGGCCCCTTCTGATGGTTGTGCCAGTTGCTGCTCTGGGCCTTCTATATATCCAAACCCAACGGGCAGTGTAGTGCGAAACATTAATTTCAGAAATGGAAAATGGTATGGAATATATACAAATAAACTTGCGGAAACATCAAGCTTCACTCCACCTGGATCAACAGGCTGCTTGGTTTTGCTTTATGCTGTTGGTTCCTGTCACAGTGCCAGGGATAAAATCCAGGGCCCTGCACACCCCAGGTCAATGCTCTTCCATGGAGCCCCACTCCCATTCCACAACTGAACACTGCTTAGAAAAATCCTTATTTTTGTTTCTTTCAGATGACACTTGACAATCGACGTATTTTCAAACTAAATAATATATAACCCTGCAAATCAAGTACCTATGCATCCTTTCCTTTTAGTTTAAAATCTGAATCTCAAGACTATGTAACAAAGGAGATAAAATTCATTTTTAAAACAAAGGCTCTAAAAGGGTGTTGGGAATGTGAAAATATTCAGTAAGCTTACGGTTGCGCCACAGGTACAATTCACTTTGGTGCCATCTTCCTCCATGTACCTCAGATTGCCGGCAATCAAACCTTTTGATGTAGATAACTGAAAAGATAATGGACATATCTGAAAACTGTCCATGACTTTTTTGCTTGGTTTTGAGGCCACACCTGGTGGAATTCAGAGCTACTCGTAGCTCTGTGTTTAGGGATTGCTCCTGGCAGTGCTGAGGAGGCCATATGTGGCGTCAGGGACCAAACCCGGGTCAGCCACAAGCCAGGCAAAAGGCAAGCACCTTATCCATGGAACTATCCTTAGGGCTCCATGTGTATACTTGGCAAAGTCCAGATCGGAATTTTTAAAATGAAGAAAAAAATATATATTTATGTTTTTCTTTCTCTCAATGTATTCAGAAGTGAAATCTATTTGGGGAATACCATTTTTTTTTTGCTCATTTGTATCAGGGGCTATACTGAAACTAGAAAATTCAGATTCATAATGAGGGTTGAAGATATATCTCCACAGGCTGAGCGCCCACACTGCACACAGGAGGCCCAGACAGTTCAATCCCTGGCACTGCATAGAGTTCTCAAAACTGCCAGGAGCAACTCCCAAGCACAGGGCTAGGAGCAGCTTCTGAATACCACCGGGTGTGAACTTCAAAACGAAACAAAAAGCCCCCAAAAAGTAATGAGAAAAAAAATACTATCACACATTTCAAAAGGAATAGACTTATTCTATTATAATTATACATTGTTTTAAAGTAAAATGGTTTGTATTGTTACTTACTATATGTAGACTCCTCCTTGGCAATTTCAACATGCAGGAAATGTCATTGATAATATTGTCCACAATGGTCTGATTACCAAAGAGTTGGCTGTCTGTATAATATATGTCTCTATGAAGATTTAAAATACATACTTTTAGTTAAACATATTCTCTTCGAATATGACAAGAATTGTGGCATTATCTAAAGAAAATGTCAACTGGATGAAACAACTTATAAATGATTACATCAATTACCCATCGTTTAGCAAACTTCTCTAACACTTCAAAATATATCTTGCAAATTTATCCAACTCAATGTTACATTACCTTTTAAAGAGGAATTTGCCAGGTCAACGTATTTACCTTTTGGTTGCATAAGTGTTGCTCTGTACCAATTTATAAATCATGGATAATATTTTAAGAATTAGAGCTGCAAAATAAGACGCAATCAACAAGTTATGCTCATCATTTCTCTTCCCAATCAAAAATATACTTCTATCATGGATTTGAACTCTACCTGCTTTCTGTAACATAAATATTTTTTATCTATGATGAAAACTATTTATAGCAGTGTAATAATCTATAGAACAATAATTACCAGAAGAGTTAAACAAATTTGATGGTACTAATAGTAGCAAGGGTGACATGTACTGAATTATTTACACTGAAAATTGATTTTGAAATGATAGTGTAACTACCATGGTTAGTGACATAAAAAATTCTAAAAAGTTATTTCAACTAATGGGTGGTCTTTTTGACTAGGAACAACTGAAACCCAGAAAATAACTAAAATCATTTTAGTACTAAAAAGTTAAGAAAGGTCATTTACCAAACTTTTTCACTGATTTTGTTGAATCACTTCTGATTTTTCTCATGGCACAATTACATACCATCTGAAGACCCACAGAATCTTCAAACCTATCATTTTAAAACAGGAGAATAAAATGAACAAAATTATCCCTGAACTCAAAATGGTCTATACTTACTGTCCTATTTAAACTGAATCTTTGAGGAACTTGTTTATAAGCGTAGCTAATTCTAGTAATTAGGAAATTAGCTTTGTGACAAGAGAAGCACTAAAGGACAGTGTCTAAAATGAATGCATTATATATCTTTACGCAGTGAGCGTCTGGGTATTATTTCTTGGAAAGACAGTGTGTGTCAACTATTTTCAAAAACCTTGTAAGTTTATTAGTGTTTTGTTTCTTTTAATAATTACTCCATTTAGTGTTGTTTCAAAATATCTTACTTTGGACGTACCTCCCAAGCTATATTAATTTACTTATATTGAGTTACTAAATTGAACTGCCAAGCCTGTCCTAAAGGTGGCAGAAGGCACCAGGCAAAGATGCCATGTGTCAGTTCTTAAGGCTTAAGGAAACCCAACTTGGAAAACATGATTTAAAGGTTTATAACTTCTATTGATCATACTGACACTGAGTATTTAGCACCCAAGGTGCCTCAAATGAACTTTAGCTCTGTTTCTGTAATTTTACTGAGAGCTGCTCTTGTAGTATTTTGCATTATTTTTTGGAAGTTCCTTCAGGTTGAATATTTGAAGAAGCGAAACAAAATAAAGGGCTATAGAGGGTTTGAGGACGTGGATGTTGTTGGTTGGTATTGCCCTCCCTTGACACGTGACAGCAGGGGAGAGGTCCTAGGGAAAAGAGTTTCTGAAATGTGCTCAGGACACATTTATTTTGATCTCAGTATGGAACTGGGTGTAGCAAGTGGTTTACATGGGAAGCTCAGATGAGATTCCCACAGGTCACATTCCCCCCTTCGAAAGTGCAGACTCAAGTCCAGAACACTTTTTAGCAGGACTGCAAGATTTGAGCATATGCATTTTGAATTCTAACCTCTTTTGGAATTTCATTTTTGTTGTTACCGTTGTTCCTAGCAGTGTTTTTCTTTCACCTTCTTTCATAGCTCGTTCTAGTTTATACAACCTGATTCTATGGTGGTGTACTTTGTAAAATTCCTTAAATCTATTTTTGGCAGAATAAAGACAATAAAAAGAATGAAATCTGACAAACTCAAATATATTCAAGTAATGGCACACTACACTTAAAAACAAACTTAAGAGAATGCCCACTTTATATTTTCCCAGCTGGATCTGCTGTCTATTGTGAATGCAGGTGCTTCATTTCTCGCCAAGCTTTTGACTATGTCCTGGATAGTATTTTCTATAGATGCAAGAACCTCAGAACTGAAACAATAAACAGAGATTCAATTTCAGTTATATATAAGGCCTTTAACATGGCGTAACATTCCTCAGACCAGTATTAACCCTTTGTTTCATTAGTTAACAGAAGGTAATCCATATGATAATGATCACTCCCATTAAATTCTGACATCAGCACTGCATTAAAAGAACAGTTTTATAGTGGTTTCATTCCAAGAAATGCCATTTTCTTGTAATTTTTTCCAAGCAATTGATAGTTAAAGTAACACCTCCCATTTAGAGTAATAACTAGAAATAGAACTTAGCAATGGATTTCGTGCATTCCTCATAGTAATCTACTTTAAATACAAACTAATTGGATCAAAATACTACTGAAAATGTTTTAATTTAAAATGATGTAATATTGGTCTTGGATTCCATTTCTTTTCCAAAAATGCAACGCGAAAAGAACATTTCAAAAGAAATACTTCTTGTTGTAGTGCATTACTCTAACTGATCTCAGTCCTTTTGAATTTTAGTGATACAAAAAGAAAAAAACTTTAATCACTACCATGAAAGGACTTGGCAACCCTTAACACCACTTTAGAGCAAAATATTAAGACATAGCCCAGTGTTTTTTTTGTCAGCTGACTTCTAATTTCACAAGCCATCAGCTTCAAAAAATGTTGCTCTGTTATAAATACCATTAGCAATCTGCTGGGAAGGGAAATCAAATTAAATCTAGAGAATAGGCAAAATGGAGTGCAATTTCCACAAAAAACGTCAGAGCTTTCATTGAAAAACGCCTGGATCAGAAAATAAATTTCAAAATAGTCTCTCTCCTCTGATAGCTGATAAAAATTCATTCCAACATCTCGTTTTCTCCCGTCTGGGGGTGGAAAAGGTTCAAGGAAGTGTCCTAGCCAACTCTTGAGATACAATCGGGCGATTTACGTCCGAAATGTCAACGTCTCATTAACATAGCAAGTTAAGAAAAGTGAAAGCTCCTTCCCGCCTCCTTTCTCCCCGCTAAAACCCTCCTGTAGAAATGGGTCTGCTGGTGGGTTTTTCTCTTCTTTCGTTGTTTTGGCAGTTGGCTCGGGCTTAAAAATAAGACGCTGATTTGTTTAGGCTGCAAAGCTCCGCTGATAAAACCGACAGGGCAGATGCAGGGCGCGCTGCGCTGTCCGGAGACGCGGGCCTCGACCCTCCGTGGTCGGTTTGGTTGGTCAGCACCTGCTCGGCCTGACCGGAAGCCCGTCGTTTCCAACCGGCGGCCCGGCTCCTCGGAATCGCGTCCAACGCGCGGCCCCCTTGTTCGCTGGGGTCCACGCTCCTCCGTGAGAACCCACGACGCCTCGATTCCCGCCTCTCCTCTTAAAAAAAACGGTTAAAGCCCTGGAAAGTCCCACCCGCCACTGCCCACCAATCTAAACACACACACACACACACACACTCACACACTCACACACATGCGCACACACACAGCCCAAACCACCCGCCACTCCCCACCAATTTACACACACACACACTCACACTCACACACATGCGCGCACACACAGCCCAAACCACCCGCCACTCCCCACCAATTTACAAACACACACACACACACACTCACACTCACACACATGCGTGCACACACAGCCCAAACCACCCGCCACTCCCCACCAATTTACACACACACACACACACTCACACTCACACACATGCGCGCACACACAGCCCAAACCACCCGCCTCTCCCCACCAATTTACACACACACACACTCACACTCACACACATGCGCGCACACACAGCCCAAACCACCCGCCACTCCCCACCAATTTACAAACACACACACACACTCACACTCACACACATGCGCGCACACACAGCCCAAACCACCCGCCACTCCCCACCAATTTACAAACACACACACACACTCACACTCACACACATGCGCGCACACACAGCCCAAACCACCCGCCACTCCCCACCAATTTACACACACACACACACACTCACACTCACACACATGCGCGCACACACAGCCCAAACCACCCGCCACTCCCCACCAATTTACACACACACACACACACTCACACTCACACACATGCGCGCACACACAGCCCAAACCACCCGCCACTCCCCACCAATTTACAAACACACACACACACTCACACTCACACACATGCGCGCACACACAGCCCAAACCACCCGCCACTCCCCACCAATTTACAAACACACACACACACTCACACTCACACACATGCGCGCACACACAGCCCAAACCACCCGCCACTCCCCACCAATTTACAAACACACACACACACTCACACTCACACACATGCGCGCACACACAGCCCAAACCACCCGCCACTCCCCACCAATTTACACACACACACACACACTCACACTCACACACATGCGCGCACACACAGCCCAAACCACCCGCCACTCCCCACCAATTTACAAACACACACACACACTCACACTCACACACATGCGCGCACACACAGCCCAAACCACCCGCCACTCCCCACCAATTTACAAACACACACACACACTCACACTCACACACATGCGCGCACACACAGCCCAAACCACCCGCCACTCCCCACCAATTTACAAACACACACACACACTCACACTCACACACATGCGCGCACACACAGCCCAAACCACCCGCCACTCCCCACCAATTTACACACACACACACACACTCACACTCACACACATGCGCGCACACACAGCCCAAACCACCCGCCACTCCCCACCAATTTACAAACACACACACACACTCACACTCACACACATGCGCGCACACACAGCCCAAACCACCCGCCACTCCCCACCAATTTACAAACACACACACACACTCACACTCACACACATGCGCGCACACACAGCCCAAACCACCCGCCTCTCCCCACCAATTTACACACACGCACGCACACACTCACGCACGCACACACGTACACACACATGCACACACGTGGGTACACGCACACGCACACACACGCACACACACAGCCTCACCAACGCCAAACTGGCGCCAACTCTCAGTCCCAGGAAAACCTCAGAAAACTGTTGCCTAGCAGCGTGGAAGCTTCCGGAACATTCTAGACGGGGTACGTTCTAGCAGCTGGGGTGAGGGGGGGGTCGTCGACAGACGTTTGAGTTGGAGTTAAGGGTCACGGGCTGGGCGCCTGAGGGGGCCTCTGGGGGTGCCTGAGGCGGCTCCCGAGGGGGCTTTGGGGGTGCCTGACCCCCGAGGGGGTCTCTGGGGGTGCCTGACCCCTGGAGGGGCTTTGGGGGTGCCTGACCCCCGATGGGGGCTCTGGGGGTGCCTGAGGCGACTCCCGAGGGGGCTTTGGGGGTACCTGACCCCTGAGGGGCTCTGGGGGCTCTGACCCTGAGGGGGTCTCTGGGGGTGCCTGACCCCTGAGGGGCTCTGGGGGCGCCTGACCCCTGAGGTGGGCTCTGGGGGGTGCCTGGCCCCCGAGGGGGGCTCTGGGGGCGTCTGACCCCGAGGGGGGCTCTGGGGGTGCCTGAGGCGGCTCCCGAGGGGGCTTTGGGGGTACCTGACCCCTGGGGGGCTCTGGGGGCTTCTGACCCCCGAGGGGGGCTCTGGGGGCGTCTGACCCCGAGGGGGGCTCTGGGGGCGCCTGAGGCGGCCCGCGGGGCTGCTCGCGGCTCTCAGGCCTGTACCTGGAGGCCGGGCCCCGGGGCGCGCCCGCCCGCCCGCCGCCGCCCCCGCCTCTCAGGGCGGCCAGCAGGGAGGCGCGGTGCCGGTCGACCGCCTCGAAGAACGAGGCCTCGGGCCCCATGGGCGCGAACGCCATGAGGACACGACCCGCCGCGGGGCGGCAGCGGACGGGGAACGCGGCCGATTTTCCCGGACTTTCCCCGCTTTCGGCCAGCACGTGCACTGAGTCCGCGCATGCGCGAGTGTGGAGGGGGCGGCACCTGCGCGCCGGGACTGCGCATGCGCCACGCACGCCCCTGAGTGCAGGCGCACAGGACACCACTGGCTGCAGCCGCGTGGGAGTCCTTGGTCCAGGTCGGGCCTGGGCTCTTCCAGCAGAAGCGTCGGTGTTGCTCCTCCCCCGTGGAGCGTCGTGCCCACGAGTCTTCCTTTCTCGAAAGAAAAGGCCAGGGGGTGGCTCCAAGAATTGGCGTGTGCGTTTTGCACTCAGGACGCCCCAGCACCACACGTGCCCTACACACACCCGCCCCCCCCACCCCACGCTCAGCACCGTTGGGGGGCCCTCCTCCCCCTCTGAAGCCTGGGTCCTTTGAAGACTTACGGAGGGCCAGCAGTGTGCCAGACACTGTTGTTCGCCCAGGGCTCAGCTGTGATCAAGGGAAGTGAAATTCCTGTCCTGGCGAACGTTTCAAGCGAGGTCACAAAGCGCATTTCACTGCGTCGCTCTCTTTCATGCTGGCAGCCACCCTGGAGGTCCCTGCTGTGATCATGTGGATTTTGCAGGAGAGAGAAAGGGAGGCCCACAAGCTCAGGCATGCCGGGCTTAACACCCCCGCGGCCCCAGTCACTTTGTAAGGCCGCCAGATTTAGCAAATTAAAATACAGCACGCTCGGTTAAGTTTGGATTTCGGGTAAACAATGCATACTTCTGATCGGCTCTTTTAGGTCTCCTGCAATCTTTGGGACACAGTTTTACTAAGAAAAATATTCAGGGGCTTATCTGAAATTCGAATTTAATGGGACTTCCTCACCTCGCAATTTCCCCGCTGCTCTCTGAGCGTCCTAGAGCGGAGGACGACCGCTGAGGTCCAGAGAGCAGCAGGGGGAACCCCAGGGCTCCACAGCATGTGGGGGCCTGTTCTGCGTGGGTGGAGACCTCCCGGGGCTCTGCCCAGAGGGCCTAGGGCTGGGTCCCCTCCCAACCGTTCCTGAGAAGCAGATTGCTCCCTTTGTTCCCGGCTAGTTGGTAGTTTTGAAAGAAGGCTACTTTGCCAAAATAAACAGGAGTGATGCTTTGTTTCTGTCTTAATGTTTCCTGGGCACATTCTGTGCCTGTCTTGCACCCCGTGTGCCTGGGGCCGTCGTCATCATCATCATCATCACAACAGGTTCTTACCCGGGCTCTGCACTCCTGTGAGCCAATACCACCCCTGTCGCCACCCGGTCAAGCTGAGCCCTTACACTTGGGTGCCTCCCTGAGTATAAAGAGGGGCGTTCTTGTTAACTTGGCACTAGAGAAGGGCATTTGCACCAGCTTCCCAGGAGGTCAAAATTCGTGACCCGTTTCACAGAGGAAGAAACTGAGGGTTGAGCGCTTTGTGTGAGAGGGCGCTCCCGGGAGGCCCAGAGCTGAGAGGCTGATCTCAACTCCAAATTCTTGGGCTGAGCACTGTGGCGAGGCCCCTGGGCTGCATGTCAGTTTTGGGCGCGGCCTTTTGTGGTAAGGATGACTGACCCCTCCGGACTCCGTTTGCTCATCTGCACCTGAGGCCTGGCGGCAGGTGACCAGTTATCATCTTCCGGGAGGAACAAACACGCAGGAGGCTTTTTTTTTTTTATTAGTGAGACACCATGAGGTACAGTTGTAGACTTACAAATTTTGTGCTTGGGTTTCAATTATACAGTGATCAAATACCCATCCCTCCACCAGTGCCCATTTCCCACCACCACGGATCCCAGTATCCCTCCCACCCCCATCCCCCCATCCCACCCTGCCTCTGTGGCAGGGCATTCCCCTTTGTTCTCTCTCTCTCTTTGGGTGTTGTGGTCTGCAAAAGAGGCATTGAGTGGCAATCATGTTTGGTCTAGAGTCTACTTTCAGCATGCTTCTCCCATACTGGGAGGATCCTCCCAAAATCCTTTATTTGGTGCTCCCTTCGCTTTGAAGGAGAGTGCAAGGTTTGACTGTTCCAGGTGCCTCTCTCCAGGGACCGGCACCAACCGTCCGTCCTTATCCCCGAGTCTTTGATATCACGGAGCACCGAGCTCAGCCGTGGAGTCCAGAGCGAAAGCCCGTGGCCAGGCCGGATGTGACATGAAAGTTTCTGAGCTGGGCGGGGGCCCGGGGAGGGAATCAAAACGGCCCAGGGAGCCGACCCATCAAGAGCCCGGCATTCCTGCCCGAGAAACCGCAAAGTGCTGACTTGAAAGGCCGAGCACCGTTCCCACTGCGGCAGACCAAAGGGAGGGCACCCGGCGCCCGGCAGCTGATTCCCTCCAGGTACCGGCGGGGCTCAGGTCACTTCACGCACTGACAGGCACCGCCTCACATCAAAGCCACCCCTCCCAGCCCGGGGCGGAGAGAGGAAAAACATTTTCCGCCTGCCCCTAGCAACCAGCGGCCGAGGGAACTCCTCTGCTCCGTGGCAGCCGCAGGCTGAGGCGCTGGGGACCGCGAGGCCCCTGGCCTTGAGCCACACTGGCGGGAAAGAGAAAAGCGATTCCCAAGCTCCAGCAGCGGCCTCTGTGCTTCAGAGGGGGCTGGAACGAGCATCGCTCAAGTCAGGTGCAGAGGCTGCTCCCAAGTGTCAAACCCCAGCCGCACCCCATACCCCAGCTCCAAGGAATCAAGAAAGGAGGCAGGGGGCTGGAGCCGTAGCACAGCGGGGAGGGCGTTTGCCTTGCACGCGGCCGACCTGGGTTCGATTCCTGGCATCCCATAGGGTCCCCTGAGCACCGCCAGGAGTAACCCCTGAGCATCGCTGGGTGTGACCACCCAAATAATTTTTTTTTTTTAAAGAAAGAAGGCAGGCAAGGAGGGGGCTGCCCTTCCAGTCAGCGGGGCAGAAGGTATCATGTGTGTCACATTTAAACCTGGGTGGCTTCTGGGTTTTTGTTTGTTTTGGGGGGGCACATCCGATGGTGCCTGGGCTTACTCCAGGCTCTGTGCTCAGGGATGACTCCCGGTGGTGCTTGGGGGGTTTTGTGCAGTGTCAGGGATTGAACCCTGGCTGGCCACTGCAAGACAAGTACCTTAAGCCCCTATACTACCCTTCCAGCCCTTACTTGAATTTTTTTTTTTTAATAAAAAGCGGACACAAAGCTTTTTTTCCAAATATTTCTGGTAAAGAAACACCCCCGACACCCGCTGCCCCGGCCTGTGGACCTGAAGTCATAGTTTGGAACCCAGCGCTGTCCGGTCTGCAAATCTTGCCCGCAACCTTTGTTTCTGCACGTCCCTGACATTCCCATCTTTAAATCCTTTGTTTCCTCTTCCTCCTTCCTGCTGACCCTCTTCAGAGTCCAGCCAGGCTAGTTCTTCTCTGTCCTGGGGTCTTCTGCTGGACACACTGCCCCTTCGTTCCGAACCCTGGAATCCCTGCGCCCGACATGCATGCCCGTCTCAGTTCTGGGCGTCTTCACCGGGAGAGGAGGGCTGAGTTCATCCCAAGGCCCTCTCCTCTGCTTTCAGTTGCGGCATCCCACAATGGGCATCTTTTTTCACAGGTGCCCACGTAGGCATCCGTCTTTCCCACGAATAAAACCCTCCTCGACCTTCTGGGGCTGCCATGACAGTCAGTCATTGAATCTTGCTGTTGTCTGCTTTAGCCAAGCCCTCCCGGTGGGAGGGGTGGGTCCTTGGCCCAGCGATTCTATCACCTTGCGGGACCTGGACCCCCGATGTAAAGGTGGTCAATGAAGGAAATTGGGTCAGGTGTTATGACTCACCCCAGGATCGGTGAGCAGTCTGAGTGAGCACGTGCTGTGCTTGCTTTGAGGACAAGAGTGCTAGAATGTTCCACGACGGACCTGCCTGCTGCTTCCTGGCCTCAACTCAGGGCCAAGGGGGCTTTGTGCCCCTGCCCCAGGCCTCCCGGTGAGTTTGAAGCAAATCCCAGGCATCGTATTAGCTCATCTGTTAGGACGTGGATCTCTGAAGAAGTGTCTGGGACAATCCCCTCATCAGGCCAAGACACAGAGGGGCAAGAGCACCCCAGGTCTCAAATTCTCCCAGTCGGCCCGTCAGACGTGTGTAGAGGCTGCTCCCGCTCTGGCACAGGTAAGGCCCCGCGAAGGTGCTGCGGGTGGGTGAGGCAGCCTGGTCTCGGTGCTCCTCTCTTCTCCCGCCTTGCAAACGGTTGAAGCCCTGAGTCTCGGCCTCTGCAGACACTGTGCAAGTCACATGGCCAGTTGCAGCCTGGTTGTGTCACCAAACACTTTTCTGTCACATTCCTCGTATTTCCCAGCAACTAATGGCTTGACACTATTTAGTCTGATTTTGAGTTTTCCTTTTTCTTTTTTTTCCAAGTAAAGCAAATTCACAGGCCATTTGGAATGGCTGGGACCTCCAGGTTGCAGGAAGTAGCAGAACCTCGGATTACCAGGAGACACCCCGCCCAGGGCTGCTCGGGAAGGTGCAGCAATGTGCCCTGGAGGTTAACCCCCCTTTCCCGGAAGACCAGGAGAGACTCAGAATCTCCCCCCCACCCCACCCCCGCCCCTGCGGGAGTCGCCCCCTTCCTCCCTCCCTCCCACAGCAGCAAGCAGGGTGCTTTGTTTTCTTGCCACAAGCTGGCCTGACTCTTGCTCTCCTGTTTTCCTTCTTGTCTTCCTCACACCCCAGCTGGGCTGCTAATTGATCTCTGATCCCGGACTTGTCCCTCCCAAGTGTCCCAGCCCTGATCCATGGCTGTCTGCTGGGCTTGGAAAAGCTTGGTCCATGCCTCAAGGACTCGCTTTGACTCAAGGAGAATTAATACCTTTTTTTTGTGGGGGTACACACCCGGCTATGCTCAGGGCTTTCTCCTGGCTCAGGGTTCACTCCTGGTGGGGCTTGGGGGGCTCCACAGCCGCTGTCCTGTGCTCCAGCCCTGACTTTACAGATGTGAAAGGAATCCCCCTTCTCACCACCCCCAA